GGGTATTAGGAAACGTTTCTTCTCAGTGATGCAGAGGCACAGCTGCCCAGGGAGGTGGGGGAGCCACCACCCATGGAGGCGTCCCAGAGCTGTGGGGATGTGGCACTGAGGGACAGGGTCTGTGGGCAGGGGGGGTGAGTTGGGCTGGACTTGGTGATCCTAGGGGACTTTTCCATCCTTAACGATTCAGTGATTCGTGATATAGCCTTTGTGAAGCTTTGGCACTGAGGGGAAAGGTCAGGCTTCAATAACCATTGGAGACTCCCCGTTTTAAAGCACCCTCACAGCAAGAAACAAGCTCTGATCGAGTCCTGCTGCGGAGGGAAAGGGGAAGGCAGCACCTTCCGGGCACACAACCTAACACAGCCCAGCAGCTCCACATCGTTGGTGTTCACTGAGACAAACTCAGCGTCCTCTAACTCACCCCCTGCACCCCGACGCCATCTTGTGACTCGGCACCCTCCCACCGTCCCTGGGAAACTCCATTTCCCGTGAAGCCCGGCGGCAGGGTGGCACTGCGGGAAGGCGAAGCGGAAGGCCGCGGGTTCCGTGCAGGTACGGGCGGGACGGCGGGCTGCGGGTCCGGGCTGTTCCGAGCACCGCCCGACCGAGGGGTGCCGGATCCCGCGGGTCGGTTCTGACGGTGCGCCGGTCCAACCTGTGCCTCGGAGCCGGCTTTCCCAGCTGTGAACAGCTGGACGCGAAGCGATCTTAGAACTCAGATTGGCGTTAATGTGTGTTTGTACTGCGTCTTCCGTAGGTCAATCTCCTGAAAAGGCACCGAAGCAAAGAGGATGGAAGCAGGAAGTAGCGCCAAGGAAGCGGTGCTGATTACGGGAGGAGGTGGTTACTTTGGCTTCCGGTTAGTGCGCTGGAGAGCGGCGACGTGCGGATCAATGGAGCAGGGCGGGCGGTGGGGCGGCGGGCTGGGACCTGCGTCACCCCGTCCTGTGCCTGTTGGTCTCGGCTCCCTGTCGGCAATCGCACCGCTGCGTTTCTGAGTGCTTTAAGCACTCAGTTACTCTGATTCCATGCGTAACTTTTAACGGGGCTGATCAGCTTTGTAATGGGGATTTAGATTACCATCGTTCAGCTACCTCAGGTACCTCAGGGGACAGAAGGAGAACGAGCTGGGTTCTGCCAAAGAGCAGCTGAAAACACGTTAGTTTTGTTCAGAGCTTTCCCTACTGGCAGTTCACCCACTTCATTTTGCTTTCCTCTAGAGACTGAGGAAACGATTCTAAGCCTTAAGCTAGGCAGTTGACTCATCACCATAGTAGATGGCTGAACTGAGTGCAATTAGGAAAAAAGAGGTATTGAAATAGTTAAAGGGCTTCTCTTATCTCTGTTGAAGTGTTTTATACATTTATGTGTATAACATACGCTTTCTGTCCTGTTTTAGTTTAGGCTGTACCATATACAAAAAGGGAGTTGATGTGATTCTCTTTGATGTCATGAAGCCTCTTCAACCTGTGCCAGAAGGGATAAAGTTTATACAAGGGAACGTCTGTTGTCTGGCTGAAGTGGAAGAGGCTCTTAAAGATGTGATCTGTGTGTTCCACATCGCTTCCTATGGAATGTCTGGCAGGGAGCAGTTGAACCGAAAACTTATAGAAGATGTTAACGTGAAAGGAACAGAAAATGTCATCCAAGCCTGCAAGAGCACAGGAGTGTCAAGTCTGGTTTATACAAGTACATATAACGTGATATTTGGAGGCCAGATTATAGAAAATGGGGATGAATCTCTGCCTTATCTACCTCTTCACCTCCATCCAGATCACTACTCCCGGACCAAATCTTTAGCTGAAATGAAGGTGCTGAAGGCAAATGGTGCTGAGCTTGGAAATGGGAAAGGTGTATTGAGGACTTGTGCTCTCCGACCAGCAGGCATCTATGGGCCAGGAGAGCAAAGACATCTTCCAAGAATAGTTAGTTACATTGAGAGGGGACTGTTTAAATTTGTATACGGAGATCCTCTTAGTTTAGTAGAATTTGTACACGTTGACAATCTCGTTCAGGCTCACATCCTTGCCTTTGAGGCCCTCAAAGCCAACAAAAAGCACATAGCTGCAGGCCAAGCCTACTTTATTTCAGATGGCAGGCCAGTAAACAACTTTGAGTTTTTCCGACCGCTAGTAGAAGGTTTGGGATACAAGTTCCCAACCTGCCGCCTTCCTCTGTCACTTGTCTATTTTTTTGCATTTCTTACTGAAGTAGTTCATTTTCTCATAGGCCATGTTTATAATTTTCAGCCTCTCCTCACTCGCACAGAAGTTTATAAAACCGGTGTCACACATTACTTCAGCATGGAGAAGGCCAGGAAAGAGCTGGGGTACGAGCCTCAGAAATACAGCCTGAATGAAGTGGTTGAGTGGTTTAGATCTCAGGGCTGTGGACCAAAGCCAGGGAAGTATACCATTACACATCTCCTTAGGGATGGAGGACTGCTCTTGCTGTTGATTGCTGTGCTCGTCTCGTGGTTTCCATCTGCAGTTATATTTTCACCCTGAAATGAAACACTGAGTATGGAGGACAGGATTTAGTTATGTTGCATACTCTTTGTTTTCACAGCGAATTAAAAAAATACATATGTTTGTACTTCTTGGGTAAATACCTTTAACAGTTCTATCCCCAGTGAATAGAATGGTGGAGCAAAAACCTTTTGTAACATATCTTATAATTCTTCTTCAAAGTAAAATTGATCAGGCCACTAAAAAGTTAACTGTACTACTACAAGCAGCGTGTTATTTTCTGCTGCAGTGGTACCCTTAAGACTGACCTTTTCTACCCAATAGCATTATACTTTTGGTCCACACCTTCTATTCCTAGGAAGTTTGTGCTATATGATCCAGAGGGGAAAAAACTTACTCTTTGATCACATTCCAAACCAAGTTCTGCTTTCTGTCTTGAATGCATATATGCCTAACCAATAATTTGGCTTTACACAATAAATTATTGTTATTTTTTAAACGAATACACTGTGGTGTACTTTTCTGAATAAACTGTGTTACATCTAATACACTTCTGGAAAATGTACAGTTGTGTACCTCAGTTGCAGCTAAGTGCTTGAAGCAGCACAGATCTGGAGATTTTCTAACTAAAATATTCCTGTTGAAGATGAATGAGTTAGCTAAAGTGTATTATGAAACAGCTGTGATTTTCCCCAGCATTACTGAACGGTTAAATAATCATATTTAAAGGACTCTTATTAAGTGATTACACTCATATTCCATTCCTTATAAAATTTGTATAGCCTCTGATAACATTCCTTTAGTGCTTGATATCATTACAACTTCAACTTCATAGCAGGATGATAAACCAAAAAAAACTAAATGTAATAGTGAAGGGACAGCCCAAGGCAGCACTCACTTTTCTTCCCCCCTCTGTAACAGGGAATAAACTGAGGCAATGTTTGCATCCTAGGAGCACTGAACTCCTTTATCAAAAGCTACTGCGCTTCCAGCAGATAACATCTCACTACCATACCGACTGCAGAAGGGTCACTCACAGAATCCATTAATATACATCATCGTAGTTTGCAGGAAGATTAATCCTTCATTTTAATAAAAGATGAAAAAAAAGGGACCTCACAAAAGCTTTGGCCTGCTGTTCTCCTAGAGGGCCACGCTTTTCAAATGAAAACCACTGGTTACTTCCTCCTCTCCATCCTCTGGTTCTGATGCAATGCTAGCAAAAGTAAATTAAGAAATTTTAATGCAACAGAAGCAACAGAAAAAAAGACAATGTACAAGAAATTGCAGATGCCTACTAGCTACAACCATAACATTGGTATTTCACACTAACTCTTGTAAAAAGCAGATCTTTTTAAGATGTAGAATGCCACTCCTGTGCCCCAGAGGATTTTTTTTCCTATTTGCAATACTTTTTTGGGAAAGAAAAAAAAGAGCCACTGCCATGTATACTTATCTTAATGGTGGGGTTGATGGAAAAAAATAATCTATGAAAGTGTCCCAAAGTGTAAACACATGCTGTTAGTGCTGGCTGAGGTGAAAGTCCTGATAACTGTTTATGTACAAAGAAAAATTGGGACGGGTGGCAAAGACACAAATACCAAAACTGAAGCAGCTCAACCTCCTGCAGAACGAGCACAACATGTGAAGCTCTTCATCTGTCTGGAGTCAAGGACAGAACTCTTCACTGATAACACAGCAAGAGGTGCTATTTTGTCCTAACTACCCATAACTTATGCTTGAGCACATGGTACTAAATCAGCCCTAGTCGAGAGAAACAAGCAGCCACTTGGCAATGCCTACCCCAAACCAAACAGCAGCCTATTTGGCTCCATCTAGTAAACAAAGCCAGAGTCGTGTTTGCTCTTCAAGTAAACTACAGAAGAGGTGAAGGATACTGTTTTACGTTCCAAAATGAAAAGAAGAAATGTAAGGCTTCAGGAGTTACTTTAAAATTACTTACTCTATGAGAATTACTTAAGACTTAGGTGTGCACAAAGCTAGTCACGGCTGCTCTGTTTCAAGTATTTTTAAAATGAGAATTATTTTTCTGTTATTACTACTTTTATATCAGCGACTGAGTAAATGAAGGTAATTCAATTGTTTTGTCTGTTCCAAGACTTTATCTATTATTTGTTTTCCTGAAAGTGAATTACCAGAAATACACCTCAAAACTCAAAAAGCAGAAATGAAAGTTTGCTAGAGCTCAGAGTTATTTAGCAACTGGTAAAAAGAATGGCTCTGATGTTTTTAAATATCTCTTGGCAGCTGCTTAATCTTGCATAACGCAGCATGTCAGCATAAAACTAATGCCTGCCAGATGTACATGAACGACTTATGATGTGTGTGTATATATGTTTCAGAAGTTTAAATGTCAATCATCCTTAAGTAGTATGTTTTTTTTGTAGCATCACCTCCTAGGAGACCCTACCAATTTTTTCTTTCATTTCTATCACTAATTGCCACATACTTGCAGCAATACAGTGATACCTCAGCAGCATAAATGCCTCATAGATGCTTGATTCCAGCTCAACATATACACAGTTTTTATTAGAAGACTGAGAAAAATTTGATTCCCAAGAATCTCAGCAAAACAAAAAATCACAATACAAAGACATCATGCCTTCACCCAGAAACACTTATGCCCATGCCATTAAGACACCCTCATTAGCAGAAAGTGTGTTAATACAAATTTACTGTGAATGACGGTTCCAAATGACTACAAATTCCAGCTCTGCCTTCTTCAGACTTCATTTTTTGAGTTGATACAAACATGATGCTCACTACAGCTGAAGTATCTACCTGTTAGTGGAAAAGGTCAGTTAGGAGTTGCATGTTAAACATGATCTTTGGCCTTTTCCTTCTGCAGTGCTTGTTTGTATCCAGATGAAGTGCAATAATAATGACTTCATGAAAACGATCATTAAGTCAGTTCATCTTAAAGAATACAGAAATGCCCTTCCTCCAACCTCTGGTGCAACACAGCGTAACATTCCAGCAGACCGCTGTTCAATTAGAACTCATGCCCACCACCTGGAGATTTGAAGTCAAGACATTCAGTAAACCACGCTTTAATGAAGAGGCTTCTGGGATCATTCACATCACTGCTATCAAAACATTTTTATTAAAATAAGTTATTTTAAGAATTCAAAATAGTTTCCATAAGAATATAACAATTCAACCGATAACATTCTTATAAATGATTTTCCTCCTAGATTATAAAATTAGCATGCACATTCAAACCTTGTTTCATATTAAAACAGCTGCAACTGTGAAGAAGTTGCTTGAGTCCACCTTGACAAAGAATTGAGAGATGGGCCTTTGGAGTTAAAACAATGCAAGATACAAGAAACAGTACATAGCCTTACCTAACACTCAAGTCAACCAAGCAGCCAAAGCAGTAATTTTCTTCTGAATGTAACATGTTCATATACTCAGGGGAAAAAAAAAGTCTGTCTGTGAAACTGAATGGATTTTCATAAATGCCAAGGAATACCTCTTATAACTTTAAATATGATGTTTGCATGCAGAATATACACACAACTTTCTGAAGAACTCTTAAACATTTGCACAGCAGCAAGAAACTCCTACGTTCATCATACAATAGTTGTTCTGGGTCAGGTATAGAATAAGGAAAGTAGTTGAGCCAAATGATTCACCTGGGCCATGTGGCTATGTCTGCTCTGGAACTGAGCTAGAAATAATAAAATTAAACCACAGCAGCCTAGAGATCTAGAATTTGGTCTCCCTGAGCGTTAGCATCTTGTGGTCCCCTACTTTCTGTAATCAGTACAAGCCCAGCTGTTATTCAGCTGCCTAAAAATCCTGTTCCACCTGTGGAAACAGCTTCAGAACCTTCCAGACACAACTTTGGACCACCTCATCTGACCATCACTGACAACACTGTGTTCTCAGGACATGGAACGCGACACACACTGGCTGCTGAATGAAATATATAGCACAGGGACTGATTGTATGACACACTAAAATATGTCCTGGAAAACAGTACAAAATGCATGTGCACCAAAGGTCCTCACCACCCACAGCAACTGGATCAGCAGGTAAGCCCAGGTTTGTATGGCAGGCTAAGTTATTGCTGTACCTCTAAAATCCACAGTTGATGCCCTCCCCTCCCCCCCCCCCCACAAAAAAGAAAAAGAAGAAAAATTGCATTCATCTAATCCTTGGATGGACCAGTTGGAACTGGTGACTGAAGAGATTTCAGGCAGGAAGACGAAAAGAAAACCCTTGAATTACCTTTAACTTTGTCCTCTCCTCTTTTTCAGATGGCTGATTGGTATTTAATTCCTTCGTTAAAAATATCTAAAGAAGACAATCAATTATGGGATGCTATAATAGCATTTCCATCTCAAGATAAGTGAGACACAACTCTTTTTGTAATAATTAAAACCTCAGTGGACTTCCTCAAACCATCAGATGTGAATAAACAACAGCATCAATCAAGCACACCTTGAAACAACAGAATAGGGAGCAAGAGAAACCAAAAATGGCTGAGGCATCTTCATCAGGCCAGGAATCCCAGATGCATGCCTGTTTTCTGTGATGAGAAATACAGCATGATGTATGCAAAATTTTATGATTCAGACAGTCATTTAGACAGAACTTAACTCCTGTGCACAGCTGTGAAAGAAATTCATTTATATAGACAGCAAAACTTCACCCATGTAGAGAGAAAGGAACCAGGAATTTGAGAGTAATAAGATAGTGCTAGCACAAAGAACTGACATGCACCCAAATTACCATAACTGGTTTTAAATATGCCATTCAAGGGCTTTCGTTTCACTACTGCAGTAAAGCACACTTGCTAATCTACTGAGTTTTCGCATCTGTAGCTCAATGTTCTTCACTTGATTAAAGATGTAAGACTAATGTACATTTGTGCATACTATCATTCTTGGATTAGATGTATTTTGGTAAAACAGTCTACATTTACAGAACACTATCATCTGATGCTATCATCTAAGTAGGACTGCAAGATTAAAAATGGACAGTTCATTAAAAAAAATCATTTCTAAGCACATTAGCAGCTGAAAGGGTTTGCAAAATGATGCTGTATCAAAGTAAGTGCTTTTCAGAGTTGAAATGCCTTTCTGAAAGAAAAAAAAAAAAAAAAAAACATAACAAAACACCACATATTTCTTAGCACACATTTACATTAAAACCTTTCCCTCCAATACCTTAATTTAGGAACACAAGTTCAGAGGGGCTACAAAAACAAGTGCACACACTGTTCTCTTAAACCTTTCACCAGGAAGCATCCAAAGTCAAAGAGGATATTTGATTTCAACAAAAGTAACATATTATCTGCTACTCAGGAAGGGCACAGACAACTACTATTAAGAGACAATACAGTATGAGCTATTAGCTGCCCAAAATTCTTTATACAGTATCAGAAGTACAATCCATTGCCTAAGGTAAGGTAATATACATTTAAAAAAGAAATGTTGGTGCAAAAGTGCTTTTACAGCATTTAATAAATTAAAAACTCACTACCAGTTAATCTTAAGGAGCCAGGTTGTTAAAGTGGTGTGATTCCATGCATGCAAATTGTTGTGAATGTCTTATCTACACCCTGTGTACACAGACACCATGAACAATTTAAACTTGCACTTCAGGTATTGATAAGCAGTGAAGTCTATGCAACTACCCACCTTCAGATTCTTTCATATACAGGAAGTCTGGCCTGCACAGAGGTACTGGCCAAACTTTGTACAGAATATAAATTATTTGGAATTGAAACAGTTTTTCTCATAACAAGAAATTAATAAGAAAATCCATCTTCCCTCCTCTTCTTCCTCTTCGATTCATTCAGCAGATGAGATCTTCACAGAATAGAATGACCAGGATAAATTAATGTCTCTACCTGAACTGCTCCATAAAGCACGCATCAAAGAATGACTGTTTTAAGAGTAGAATTTGCTGTTACTGACTTTCTTCTCCCTTAATCTTTTAGGGAAAAGAAGAAAAAGAAAAGAAAAAAAAAAGGAGTTAAGTCTTCTTGATATTTCTCAGAGGGGAATGGTTTACTATGTTCATTCAATGTCTAAGTAATGTATCAGCAACAAGGACTGTACATTTTTTTTCCTGCAATAGATTCATACAACTGTTCAGCACACACAGACACACACACAAAGGTAAAAAAAACTATTTAAAGAAAAGTCTTCATCCCATTTCATTATCTCAGAAAGGCCTAAAGATCTACTCTATACTTCCACGTGGTCACCTGGTAAGGAAGCCTCTCTCTTCCTCCTACCCAGCCCAAAGGTGGCAGCAAATGAGACATACCCTCCCCTCAGCTTTGGATAGCACACTGACACTTAACTGACAGTTCTGTGGCCTTAAAAGTGTTCTTATCTTTTGCAGTATGTGTCTCTGGAGGCATGTTGTTTCCACATATTTAATACACTAAGGACACCACCAGGGACATAACTTTAACAATGTAGGAGAGGTGGTTTATTTATTTGGCTATATAGAATATATTTCCAAGGTTTTCTCCTCGAAAGCAGGATAAAAGAACATAAACTCACAGGATTACACTGTGATTACTGAAACCAGGATTTCACTGAGCAGACATTTCACTGAGTCTGCTGGCCTCTAGTGGTTTGCAGCCCTGCCTCCCTTCAGCTATGCCAATCCTGCTCTGACTATTCTTAGATGCTTGTTTTAATAAACCTGAGATTTTCTTAACATTAAGCCATACTTAGATGGAGCTACCTTGGAAAGAAGAATGATTACCGACCCACCTCCGGTTACATGTTTCTTGACACATCTGTAGTTTATGTTCATTCACATTGAATTCTCTTAATAATGCATCTCTGTTAGGATTCCTTAAGTTCATATGGGTATCATAAAGGAACAGCTGGTTATTAACTTCCTCCTGGCGCTTCCGAAGTTGCCGACACGAAGAATAAAGCTCTTCTTCATATTCCTTTGAAAGAATATTGGAAATCAATGTAATAATGCTGGTAATCAGTGAATGTAAGAGATACCCAATACAGAATCAACAGAGTTCAGGGGGCTATTTTGTTTTCCTAAACACATTCCATTAGTTTTATCTGGAGATAACATTTTGGAAAATATTCTCCCATAACAAATCATGTCAGTGTGTTGAGCAAAGGACAGCAAAAGGACATCACCGTAGGACATCAGATTATGTGCTTTAAAATACTTTTTAATTTTGTTGTTCTTGCTTTTGACAGCTCCATCACATCTGTGTACTAGGTGACATTAACGATCTTGGTGCTTTCCTATTGAAATCCAGACCACAAGTAGAAATACTGATGAGTAAATAGGATCCCTAACAGCAGCAAGCACCAGATGACCAAGGGAAGACACGTCCTTTGTACTAAGGATCTATGGCCATTTCATGCTTTCAGAGGAACAGACTAAGTATTTGAACATTAATTTACAGGGGGTCTGAGCTTCTGTTGCATGTGGCCCACAACAGAATGTCTCAAAATTCTCCTCAAGCATAAATAATCAATATGATTCCTCTCATGACTTCAAATTATTTTAATACTCCAAAAACTCTGCACGCACAAGCTGCATCTTTTCTAGTATTACTTCTGGGAAACAGCATTGGCAGCAACAAAGTCTTAATTTTCAAATCAGCAGCAAAACAAGATACGTATCCTAAAAGAAATGACATGCAATCAGTAAATGTAACAAATCTAAATATTTTCAGAGATGGCATACTAATAAGAATGCCTCTTTTAGGACTCTGTCCAGATCCACAAAAATTGACAGGTTTAGAAACATGGAGTTTCTCCATGTTTCTAAACTCCATGGAGCCATGGAGTTTTACAGTTAAAGGAACAAGATCCTTTCCTCACCTTTCTTTTTCCTCCCAAAACAAATTCCTACAGTTCCCTGGTATAGGATGAAGCAAATAAAAGCTGAAGAGATTCACACACTTTCTGATGCAAGTGAATCAATTTTCAGGCTAATAATACATGCTTCTAAATGTAAAAATCTCAGTGTAACCAAGTTTCTACAATGTCAAGAAGACTGGTTAACTTGAACAAAAACTGCATGAGGCCCCACATAACAGGGGCACATATACATATATACATGCTTACATTTGCTAGATTCTTGCTACTCTGTTCCTAAGGAAATTTCACAGCCATTCTCATACCCCTTTATAACTGTGTTTTTCATCTCCAAGAGAATACAGATGGAGTCCTGTGTATAAACAGACCTGTTATTAAATTATACCATTTTGTGAAGGGTCGTTATCACAAATAAAGAAAAAAAAAGGGCAGAAGAACAGATGGATATAGCCCTGATCATTCCTGATGCTTCTTGAATGATCTGGCAGAACTTCCAGAAGTTGATTAACCATGGCAAACCTTGATTTGCTACAGACTGCCAAACAAAAGCAAATTTGTTTGCAAGTTCTCCTGCTACTACATTACCACCCAGAAACATCAGACCTTGCAAATATACAGAGCAATGCTGCATCTTCCCTTGGCCTAACAAATTGAAGGTGTTTCAAGAGTGTGAAATACGCTACCACCAAAGGACTTAGTGCTGACAGACCGGGAGACACGCTGCTGCTATGAACAACACTAAGAGATACACGGGCCCCAGGCAAAGAATGAATTTCTGAAGAGGAATCAGCAATATATCTAGCACCATTCCCATGCTCAACATTAGGCAACAGCAAGTTGTTACCAGTTTTCTCAGAGGCAACAAGCCAGAAAATATGTAAATATATGAGTTTATCTGGTCTCCTGGATCAGACTCATGTTCATGGAATACGAACATTTCAAATGTTATCTTCATGCCTCTCTTTTCTTTAAACATACACTCTTTGTCTCAGCTCCTAGCCTTCTCCTTCTCTCAGCTATGGCTGCCAAGAGCTGATTACACACAGTCGTATTACATTATGTGTTTATTAGGTGGCTTTGCAAAAATCTTAACAAGAATGTTTGAAAAAGGCTGCCACTCCTCCATGAAGAATGTGACTGAGAATTCAGTGATTTCCATTTCAGTGTCCGTAACCGTAGGGACAAATCTCTCCAGAGACATAACAACTTACTGTTAGCAGAACCTGGTGTTTTAATCATGAAAACTAACACATATTGGTGTGAACTACAGCATTAGCTGAACGATTGTGAACAACTACAGATGAGTTGCACTTCTTCCTCCTCCTCTCAATATGAAGGGTACTGGAAAGCACCCAGAAATCCTCACTTCCCAGAAGCACTGTAAAATTTCATTACTTGTTCCCTGTGCCATTGTATTTAATAAGATACAATAAAACATAGATTCATGTATAGTTATAATTGAATATTTAGTTATATATAGTTATATTAATATATAAAATATATAGAATAAAATATTATTGACATATAAAGAGAGTCTGAGAATAAGCCTGCTTTAAATTAACATAGAAAGGAGCACCTCTGAAGCACCAACAAATGCTCTTCACAGACCAGGTATGTGAATGTGTGGTTCCATGAGCAAAGGATGCATCATCATCATTTTTCCTGGAATGTGTAAAAACACTAACTAGAATTTCAATAGGCAAAAAGCCTGAATTTCAGAGGTGAAAGCCTGAATTTAGCTAGCTAGCTCTGCATGGCATCAGTCAGTTAATAGGGGAAATGCAACAACCATGCTGGTACAGCAAAAAACAATGGAGGTAATTAGGCTTTGTTTGTGCATTATTTATTTTAACAAATGAGAAATTTGTAGCCTCAGTGGGAGAGTAGCTCAATTTGCATTACTGGTCTTCCCCAATACCTAAAGAAGAAAAGTCAGATAATACCACACCATAAACTGAACAAAAACCTAAATCCTTGTTTCCTGGTTTCCACAAAGAACTGCTAACACATGCTGTGAGTGCACAAAACAAATGAGAGGTTCTCACCAGAACTTGCTGCATTTCACAGTGAATCAGAAGTGAGGCTAGCTCTATGTCTTCACTGTAACCATTCTTGAGAGGAACTGATCTAAAACCTGAAACAAAAACAGAAACAAAGCATATACAAAGAAGTACTAGAGTTAAGGCCATCAAAAAATGGTGCAAGTAGGCCTAAGGACCAAAAGATCCCTCACTGTTCAAATGCTTCACTGCTGAGAGCAAGCTTTCTTATGTGAATTATGTGAATTACAGAGAAACAAAAGACAAGAATGACAGAACCAAGAAACAGAAAATTTCATATACTCTTAGAAACGAAAGCCAGATGCAGACAAAAATCAGCAAACTTACTCTGCATATGCCCACGTTTAAGGCAATGAATTAAACAAATATTCTGACACAAAATCAGAAAACAAACCTTCCCACATTTTACCCAGAGCCCATGATAAAGATAGTTAAAGACACAGGGATCATATCAGTAAGGAGATAAGAATAATATCAGACCATTGATCTTGTTGCTTTCATCTGAAAAACAGCTCCAAGTGGGAGTGGAAGGAAGAACTTCAATGGAATCTCTTACTTTCAGAACAAAGAAACCCCTGGGTTTATCAGTACACAAGAACTAAATTTAGCTTTCACAGAGTCATGGCACACTATTAGTAGCAGTTCTAAAACTGCCTTTGTTGTGATTTGTTGCTGCTGCAAATTTTCCTATCCTATCTAAACAGAATTAAAAATGAATAAATAAATAAATTCAGAAGGCAAGATGAGGATTATTTTACACGCTTTTCACACTACACAGCTAACATCATAATAAGGAATTCAGGTCAACAAAGCACTTCTCATTTGGCGTGTTATAGCTGCCAGTGTAGAGAGCAAACTCATACCACAATAATTTTTAACGTCATTCTGACTTAGCCCCTTATCATCCCTCCTATTCTTACCTGATTTGATTCCTTTGATGGGAAAAGTGGCATGTGCTAAGAAATTGGGGTCACTGAACATATCCTCCTCATAAACAACAAAGCGCAAAAATGCTAGATTTGGATCATAAATTTCAAATTTCACTTGCTCCGGACAAGGTGCCCATACTGGATTAAGGCCATTGTCATCTGTAATGAAAAGGAAGCATTTACAGTATGAGGCAATAAATTCACTTCATTCATATACGGGTATGTATCCCAGGCCATTTTCTGGGCATACAGAGGCCAAAAAATCCTATTTACCATCTGTCTCATGTTGTAACCTCACTGCAGACGGTTTGTATTTGTTTATTTGTGAGGGGAGATAGGAGGAAAGTTGGCATGGATGGAAATCTATGAAGAAAAGCTATTATTTGTCTTTATGTATACAAAACCTCTGTGGACCATATTCATGAGCCTCTTGTTCTGTGTCACAGGAAAAGCATGTATGATGTACAATGCCAGTGTACGACGGCCCAATTCATTTATGGAACACTGAGTAACTTGGCACTTGCAAAGCAGCTAGGAATTCTGCTGTCTAAGGTCTTGGTCACTCCTGACAAAAATTTAAAATCATAATCCTCTTCTCTGAAGTACTGAAGAGCCACAATGTACATTCTGCTCCTAATTTTGTATTTATCTTCCACTGCTGTCTGAGCTGTAGGTTTCAGTAGCTTAGATAATTAGATTCAAAGCCTCTTGTCTACCACAGGAACACTGCTGCATCCAGATATATTAAATTGTGAAAAGACAGCCAGTCAGTTTATTAAAGATTGTTCTGTCTTATCTTCTTACATACAAAACTTCAATAATCAATTTTTGTTTGACTGCCACTTAGATATTGTCCCATTTCATTTGCTTACACAATGTTCATGTACACACACACACACACACACACACACACTCCTTATCCAGAACTCACCAGGAGTAAGCTTTGATCAAAATTTTACTGCATTGCAGGTTATACAACTTTACAGCCATATCTACCCAAGCTGTGTCTGAGGGGATGCCAGCCTTTGAACCCAACTTGAAATAAACACAGTCTGGATCTCACAGCACTAACTCCCCATTTCAGCCAGAATTTTGGCAATTGACTAACTCTGTAGGAAGCACTTTCAGGGCAGCAATTTTAAAAAAAAAACATGCAGACTACACAAAGTGTTGCATAGGCCAAAACATAACACAGTCACAACTTTCTGTGAACAGTTCGGGTTTTTTCCCTGAAAAATCAGATATTCATTCAAGTTTTGCAAATTAACTCAGGAAGGCAGGAGAGCAGGTTACCCAATTACTCCCCATACAGGTTGCTGGCCAATTATAGACATTATACATTCATTATCATCGCCCACTTTATGTGCACTAAAAGTACAACCCCACTACACAGAAAACTGATACTCACTCACAACTGTTGTCTTGAATTTGTTATTATCATACTCAGCCCCACATATTTCTACCTCTACAAAGGGACACGCAATGCTTCTACCAAGCTTTGGGAGATGACGAGCACCTAAAACCTTCAAAAGAAACTATGAGTTATAACCACATCCAGAGGAAAATTCACATGGAAAGGTGGCCTACAGAACTAATAGAGAATTTCACTAGAGAAAAAAGAAAATAAACCCAGAAGAGTATGCAGAAATGCACACTCCCTTTCTTGAATGTGTTTACATCTATTAAACATACTATGTCACTCATAATGGCACTCCAAATTGTCTGGGTGACTCAGTGATTTTCATTGAAAGATATGATGGCTGACATTCGTTGTACACAGTATGCAGTTCCAGATCAAGTTTGTAACATTATCTTCATTCAGTCCTTATTACCTTAAAACATTCCTGCTTTATTTCACACCACCTGTTTACCTCTCCTCTAAACTGTAGTAAAAAGCAATTAATATGTTTCTGCCTTCTCAAAAGGCATATTTTTAAAGGACATCTCTCTTACTGAATAATAACCGACAACAGAAACAAGCTCATCTCACTTTTGGCACTAGAAGACAACAAGGTATAATTTTCAAGCGATACATCCATTTCTCCATGAAAGTGAGACTGACATTCTGATTAAGTCACAGCATACCCAATAATATGATGAATGGGGAAAAAATAATCAGTTTATTATTTTTCTGTTCAGTTTTTCTCTTTCATTATAAACGTCTTTCATCCCCACACTGGAAATTTTGGAACTAGTTAGTCTGCTGCTAATCAATCTCCAATAGGGCATTTCTACTAAGAAGTTACTAGGTTGGAAATGCAAGTTAGTACATTTGGAATCTTTATTAGCAATTACATAAAATTATCCCAGGATTGAGTTTTTAGTTCTATAGCATGTGCTTCATTAGCATGATAAAGATATGTATTTGCTATCAGGAACCAGTGAAACTAGTTTTATTCTCAAACACTCCGACATTTGAAAACAGCATTTTGACAATCTGTCAGGTCTTGCTCTGAAATAATATAACTTAATTTATAGTTTTATAGATATTTATGACTTGTAAAAAACATAATTTACAAAAGAGATTTACCCTCACTGTCATAATCATCTGCAATTTCCTCTTCGATTCATTTGGCATTGGGTCATATTCTTCATTTCTCATGCTTTCTGGCTGCAGAACATAGCCAGTGCGTCCATTAAGTGAAAACAAGGCATGGTTCAATTGCATGTATTTATCTAGGAAGAGAGTTAAACAGTCACAACAGAAAGATCCCTATCTGAATAAAAGGAAGTACCAGATTAATGGCTCCTCTCTGCAATTCTTCCTGGTTGATGCTTTCCCAGAAAGAGTTGGAGAGGTAAGTTGGAAGACACAGTTACTGAACTTCCCTTCAGTAACTGAACCTGACAGGCCATTTTTCAACAATTTTAATCCTAATAAACCCATCTCCATTCAAAACTAGTTTCCTGTGAGTGCCATTAGCTAGCTTCCCTTACTGGGAAGTTGTGTACAGCTTTCCCTGTGGGTGAACAACTGTTCATCCAACTGAACTTCACTACAAATATCTCTGCTTGCTTATCATGAAGAAATGAAAGTGGAATAAACCTTTCAGAGGTAACAAATGGGCTCAGAGATAGAGAGACTGATTTTTTGTGGATCTGCTCTTAACAGAGGATTCACACATTCACAAATTCTCAAATTCATTTCTTTTATCTCCCTTCTCACAGTGAATTACAAATAAATACAACAGCCACAGTGACTAGAAGGCAGAGGCTCCATTAGTGGTGAAATAGAATATGGGCTAAATCCTTTTTAAAGGGAATATTACCTGGAGTCTGAAAGTTAAGAGCCACCATCTGAGAGCCACAAAGCCAGAGGCGAAATGGGTCATAGTTTGATGAGTCAACCCTTTGTCCTTTAGGATAGACACGTGTCAGTCCCTTCAAGTTGTATTTCAGCAACTCAACTGGCTTTTGCTTAACAATACTTTCTGCCTTGGTTTCCACAAAGGAACGAATTTCTTTGAAATCAGGATTTTCTACACAAGGGAGAGAGAAAAAAAAGGGCTGTTACACAGGAAGAAAGAAGTTGACATTTATGCCTTATTTCCAATAACATTTTGTTTCACTTTGGTTTGCTTTGTCCTGTAATGAAATAATTGGTACTGTTTTAATGCAGACACAATAAACTGGTTGAATGTCAGGTCTGAAAGTTAAAATTGCCTGCCTGCCACATGCTTTGCAACAGGGCAGATTGTAGCCATGCTCTTATCTCATCATTGCTAATAATGCACTTCTGACCACTGCAGGACACATTTAAACCAGACATCTTTTCCTGGGTTTAAATGGGGAGAAGAAAGGGTCAGCCAGGGTTACCCAATGCTTCAAACAACGAGTGTAATTACAATGTCTTAGCCACAGTGACAGCTTATTAAAAGCATCTGCAAAGAAACTTAAGGAGGAAGGGCACATTTGCTGGCTTCTCTGGAACACAAAGTACATATTTCAGTGTCAGACTATCTGCACACTTATGTAGATCCTAGTTCTCATTTATATTATAGAACTATATATCATTTCTACAGCTTACATCTATGGCAAAGGTGCTACAGAACCATTTTGAGAGTTCTGACAAACAAATGCCAAGTGTTCAGCCAGATTTTTTAATCTCAGAAAAAAAACACCTGACGTAAAACTAGAGAACTTCCTTACTGAAGCTGTATTAAGACGATGTCTCTGATCAGTTAGGTAAGAAACCTGGGACAGTTTCAAGATCTCTCTTCTTTCAAAGCCTCCTTTCTAAAGGAAATTCACCAAGCCCAAGAAGTTTCCAAGTCTTTACTGTGATTGCACTGACTACGAAAACATGGTGTGGCAAATGAGAACAATGAGAAATTACCCAAGCTTTCATCTCCTCATTGATGGCCTCCTGTTTCTTTATCTCATACCATTAATTAGTTCCGCATTTGGTCCCACACTTAAACCAAAACAGATTGAGATATGTGCTCAAAACAATTCTGATAAATTAGGGTCTTTTACCTGATACTTTATAGTATGAACAGCTTCAAGCTCCCCTACTACTGCACAATTCAAACTGTCACTGAAAATTCTCCATGGGTGAGGCTCAATATTCTCTAGTAGAGAAAGAATAGATTCTATCTCCATTTCCAGAATTTCAACTAACATCTGTACAGCTTAGTAGAAAAGTTAAAATTCAGATGTAACCTTAAAGAAAATACCTAAATTGTCCTTGGTTTTGCTTGTTGGCTTGCAGTAGATTACCAGATCAGATAATTCAATGGCAATCAATTGATTCTTTTCCCAGTATTTCCTCCTGTTCTCCTGTAAAATGTAATAAAGTTTTAGATTATGGACACACTAGGCAATATGGTACAGTAACTCCACTCTAATAAAATGACAAAACTGATGCATTCTTTTTTGCCCAGATTCTTATTTGATACTTAAAACACTTCCACAGATGTAACATATTCAATTCAGAGAACGGATTAACCAAGTGCTTTTTTTTTTTTTTAAAAGCATGTGTTTCAGAGTGTCCCCTTAATCAATCCTACTCAGAAGCTTGGCAACATTTTTTTTTAATTTTAAAAAATATTATCTTGTTTGTACTCCATTTTCATTAGATTCCTGACTCTATACCTCATGTAAATGCAAATGTATGAAGGAAAAAATGCAAAATATATAGTGAAGTTTCTCTCTATTTACCATCTTAAGCAGGACCTACGTCTTGTTAGTAAGTCCCAGACAGCTAAATTCAATCCTCAAGAGCATCATTCCTGTAATTTCCTATTTGCACATGAAACTAGAAATGTTACTTATAGAAAATCACATGTAACCATGTAGGCCTCACCAATTATAAGCCCACGATATACTTTCCTGTTTGTAAGCACCTGCTATGTGGAAGCTGAGCCAAGGTCCTTGCAGCCACAGACCGGAAGCTACTGAAATCAGCAAGACTTGCCCTGAGCAGAGATGTTTTGGCTGGAGGCTTTTCAGACATAAGAAGCAATTACAGGACAGAAAATGTTAGAAGAGCCCCATACCAAACAGCTACTAGCTTTGGTACAAGAGATTATGAAGCAGCAGCAATTAGGAAGTCTTCCAAAAGAATCCTCTCAACAAGATGAACTGAAGAGGAAAGAAAATCAGAGAAGCCAATGAGTTGCTAGAATGTTTCCCTGAACCAGAGATTACATTGAAGTCTAAGAAAGGCAAGGAGGAATACAGCATTGAGAGCTAAAATAGACTTGGAAAAAAACCCAAACCTGTAAACACAAGTGTCGTTGTACTTAGTGATTTACTAGTTTCCCAGACATAGCTCAAGAGTATGCAGTGCTCCATATAGCAGTGGAGCACTTCCACAGTGTTAGACATAACACACCAGAGATACTCAGCCAGGAGAGCTAGTAATGAACGAAGTACAGGAAGCCTTTTTATGTACAACATGCACATCTCCAAAATAAACTGAAAACATGTCTGTGTCATACTGCAGCATTATACTTTTTCCTTCCCAAAATTTAGACTGTTAATTGTACTGGCAAAGAAGGCCTTTCCTTGCCTTTTTCCTCTCCCCATGCTGCAAGGATTTCAAGAGGCTACACTAAGAAAAGCCTCCTGACTGACAGAAATGAGTTTAAAGCATCTTTGAATGCAGGCTGTTTAATAGTTCCCTAACCATACAGAGGGAGAGAAAGCTGCCAAGCTCCTGAAGAGCCACTGATGTGCTATGAAAAACAACCCATTTAGAGACACTTCCTTCTAGACCAGGTTTCTCTTTTTCTCATTTTTATTTCTAAACAGAAGCCTGGCATAAGAACCACGTCTCTCCTCCCTCAACAGCAGTTCCTGCTGTTTTTTCCCTTGCTGAATTTGCTGGCCCCTCTGCTTGAGGTATTAACTTGCTTGCTATAAACGGGATTCTGATGACCCTCGGAATATTGCTGCTCTACATGAAAGATAAACAGCACAAGCCAACACAATACTGAAAAATATTTTCCATCATTCATAACACCCACTCAATAATAAAGAGTAGAAACAGCAAAGAAAACAGTATTCTTAAGCATAGTCAACACAAGGGCATTTTGACCATGTCAAAGACTTCTTAAGTACTAAAAAAGACAACAGGAAAGTAAATTAATACAACAGAGAAGGAAAAGGAAGTCCTGAAGAATGTTTTTAAGTGGAAGTAGTAGTACAGGTACGTAGATTAGGTACAGAGCTTAGCAAGGTTTAGCAGTATAAAACAAATCCTATTGTAAACCTACAGCACTACATACTAAAAACCAATAAAGGGGTTTATTTTTAACAATACCTCTTCTGCAGTTTTCCATGTGATTTCACGGACGCTTTGGTACCATTCAAACAGTTCTTCTACTTTATCAGTTGCAAATTCAACGCATGGATCTTCTGGATTCTTAGGTTCCAAAATGAAGACAAAAGGCTTTTTGTGTTTCCCTTGTGGCATTTTCACTGTTAGGTAAGTAGCAAGAAGTTTACACTAAAATCCAGCTGTTCTTCTAATGCTGTCACTGTTGAATTGTTGCAACAACTAGTGGCCAAGTCCTGGCCACTGCAGTAAGTGCTCTCATGGGGCTGGAACAATTAGTCTCAGAACATTTTATAATATCAATAGTATTTGCTACATGAATACAAATAGTTTTCAAAGCCAAGTATTTTATGCTAAACACAAGGGATCCTCTTCAGCACAGAAAGTTCAGGAGTCAACATGTACAAATCAGAAAGTACATACCCACATTGTACGTATTTAGAACCAATATGCCGTGACACAGAGAGCCTAACGGATTGTCCTCAATAATCTGTGAAAAACAGGAGATACAGCTGACACAGCCTTCTGCACAGAATATTAACAAACAATAAATACACACCACTAAATCTAATTACTTTCATTGAAAGCACGTGCACTCTAATATTTAAAAGGCAAACTAAATCTAAGTTTCAGGCAAGTTATAGCTTAGATGAGCTATCTGAAATAAAAATCCATACCGGTATAATACACAGGAAAACAGAACCTCCTAAAATCCAAGCAAATCAGTTATCTCCTTGAGTAGTTTTCCATGATGGACATCCTGACAAAAACACTTGACAGCACAAAGAACAGCAAAGAATGCATTCATTTCTTTATTCTGCATTCCCTTGAACACAGCATTCTAATTCCATAAACCAGATTTCCACGTCCAGCAGCTTGTTCTAGGAAAACACAGCAGACAAACCTTAAACCTCACCTGGCTTTCAAGCTCAGCAGAATTATCAGACAACAGGTCTTCAACGTAATTGGATGGAAAATAGTGTTGGACTTTTTCTCCATAATCCCCCTTCCACCTGAATTTAAAAAGAAAAGCATACATAGAGAAAAAAAAATAGCTTAAGAGTTTCAACAGGCCATTAATGAAGAAATGATACCATGATTCTATGAAACAATCCTCAAGAAATTGGTCATTAATACCCAACAATGGCTTCTCTAGTTGGCAATCACCAAAAATACAAGTGATTAAGTAGTTGCAAGATCCAACAAAGTGATCATTAACTGTAGTAACAGATCATTTCAGAGGGATTACAGTTACTGTATACTGCAGTTAATGACTCAAGAGGCATTTCCCCCTCCAGTACTAAAAATACTATTACGTGGTTGATTGCCCTGCAGAAACTAGAGGGAAATATTAGATTCCCAAGCAATTTGCAAGGCAGCTAAGAAACAAAACCACTTATGAAAGGAAACTATACTGACAACTAAATAAAATGGATTTCATTCCAGAGAAGTACTACACAGAGCAGAAGAAACACAGTACTGATGACAAAGGTAGTAGATGCAGAACTTCTCAGAACACACGAGTGTTAAGGAAGTATGAAAGTAGTAAAGGAGAAATAGGGGATACACTGGCATAATGAAGATTCTGCAAGGTGAGGTTAGTTCTGTAGGGCCAAACAATGCAAAAGACATGATGGGAGACTTGCATTTGAGTTTTTTTGCTTTCATTTAGTATATCAGCTTTAACATTTATGAGGCCACATTTAACAAGCAAAGATTTTTAAAAACATGCTATCCAAAGTTTAATCTTTCTCTCCCATCCAGTAAGTCACTAGAAGTTCTCCTATGAGGAATCTTTGTCCTTACCAGCCTCCAGTTTCCTTTGTGACATTATGAATTAGAGCTCCTCGACAGAAGCTCAATTCATCACTTCGTTTGGCTCTGTAGTCATACAAGGCTTTCACCGTTCTCTGAGGCTTTAAGAGAAACAAAGCAAACAGGTCATCTAGGGGGACAGGTCATAAAATGATCAATAATGCAATTTTATTTTTTTTAAGAGGTGGAGGAGAGGGTGGAATTGGATCCTTTTTTATTGTTGTTATGAAGCTCAGAAAACGCAGTACTAAAGTTCCATAGTGACATCTACTGTTGGAAGCAAGTAATGCTACTTAACTGCTATTTTTCAAGTATCAGCTTGAAAAAAAATGTTTTGTTTGTTTTTTGAAGAGCACTGCAATGTAATTACTGTAGAAAAAAAAAAGAAAAAAAAAAAGTGTCAATCTATCACCATTCCATGTATTCAAATGCAGCTGGAGCACAAAGGCTTAAGAAGCAGTCAGAGAGCTTGCACTTCCAAACCACATCAGCTATCCTGCTGCTCACGTTTCCTTTAGGAAGGCATCTAGTTTCAGTAGAACAAATAATTACTTTATCTTGAATTTATTAGTACTCAAATTCTTCAGTAGCAATGTAAATACATTAGCCAAAAAGACTGAAAGAAAGTTACAGCCACTGAATTAACAATCAGACAAACTTTTAGGAGAATCTAGTAGGAGACCATAACAAGAATTAGAGGTAAGGAAATGTTTGCTGTGCCACTTGTTATTAAATTTTGGAGCATACCTGAATAAGCACATGTACAAATCAAGCCACCTCCACAGACTAAATAGCAAGAAGTGCCTGAATTCCCAATACGGGGGAATCAATACAAGATTTGCACAGAGAAATTGTCGGTACAAATTTTGAGTAGATATTAGAAAAAAAGTCACACCCTTCAAAAGTTCACCTGTCTAGTCCCCCCATAAATCAAGCAGCCTAACACTTTCAGTTAACCTTTTCATTACTGATAACAGGAAATCCACAAACAATTCTCATCATTTTCAGAAGTGTAAGAGAAAACGTGAAGGCCATCTCTCCTAAAACATACCACTGTAGGGGTGATTTCACTGGGTTCCACGTACATCTTGACATCATAAAGAGAGTTTATATCTTTTTCCTAAAAATGGAAAAAAGGAAAAAAGGTAAATTACAGTAATCAAAAATTAGAAAAATACCTTTCTGACAATAGAGATGCAAACTGAAGATCATAATACATGTGTCTGGCTTCCCTCCTCATCTCTGTAGTTGAACACAGCTGAACAGCAATATTAACACAACGAGATCTAAAATTCTTTCTGCCCCTTTTAGCCTCTCCAGAAGAAACAGAAAAAAAAGAGACCTGAATTTCCTGAAAGATGGCAAATTTGTTTTTTCTTGCACCTTCCAACACCCATACATTTGAAAACAGATGAGGTCATCTCAGGCTTTTCAAGTCAGTTACCTGTTTGAAGCTCTCTCATCATGAAATACATCCATCCAAAAAGTAGACATCTATCCTAAGCTAATTATCCGGTCTCCCCTTTTAGTCAGCAAACAGACAGGTATCTCTGGGGGAAATCTCCTCACACTTATCTCAAAGAGTGAGCCTTCAGAGGTACCTCTCACTTTTTACCACAAAGGCAGCAGGACACCCCCTGGGAAAGCTCCAAAGTGGTGAAGTAAAAGCTACTGTCTGTACAGGATGACAGGCACAGCAGAATCTTTAAGATTTCTGTCTACTCCAGAAACAGAAGAGAGGGCCAACTGCAGGTAAGGCTATTATCAAAAACAGAGCAATATGTCCTACTTCATGGAGGAGCTTTTCTAATCAAATCATGAGGAAAACAGAAGCCACTCCGTTGACAAAGATGAAGCTTTTTCCTTCACATGTCTCAAAAACTTCTAGAGAAGTCAGCGTAACCATCTTGATTTCACAGACTGCTTAAGCTTCCCTGAAGGACATCTATCATAGCCAGAACCAAACCCAGCTCCACCAGACCCAGACTTGGGACTCCATCTGCTAAAACACCCGGCACTCATACAAAGGACATCACTTACCGTGCTGTAGCGCTCCAGCAGCTCCTCAGTCACGGGATAACGCAGTTTCATTTTCCTGTACAGAGGGTGCTTCTCATAGTATGTGACCAGTTCCACTAAACTCTCAAAGTAGGCTGATGTTCCAAGCACAAAATGGCGACCTTCTTGCTGAATTCGGAAGTGCTTCACCTTCCCCTCAGCTCTGTGAAACAAGTACAAGTGCTGTTAAAGGTACTGGTACTTGGCACAGCGAAAGCACCAGTGCTGCAAACTAGACCAAAATTGCTTTATGCATCTTAACCGTGTGAAATAGTTTCTCCCTCTTCCAAAACATCTTTTATTCAAATAGAATTCCATTTGCTTGATTAAATTCACCAAAAGATATTCTGATTTTCCCACAATGTGCAGGGCCTTGGGAAAAATCCATGTTTTTGCCTAGATTAAATTTCCCTATTTTGTTCCCCTACACAGGGGTATTCTGTCACTTTCAGACTAAATAAATGCCTAGAATCAGACTGAGAGTCCCATCGGAATCCACTGCTACTGATCTGCTGCTGTCCCTAAGCAATGAGTCAAACTCACCTCAAACACAATTTCATTTGAAGGCACAATGGAGAATACTGTAATTCTATACTTTTTATTAATATTGTTATAGGCACCAGAGCTTCAAAAATATTTTCCCTGGCAATAAAAGCCTACAAATAGATAGAAAACAGTGCTGTTTTGACAGATACCAAACAGATTTGAGTCAGTTAGATGACAGGGTGGAATTTCCAAAGGGTAAGGACCTAGAATTATTGCTGAACCAGCACCAGAAAGAAGTTCAAAACAGCACTCTGTTGCAGGGAACATCAAGGAAGTAAAGAAGGGTCATGCACAGCTCTGCACTGGAAAAAAAGGGGCAACTGGTGCCCAAATACTTTCATAAAGTTATTAACATTTATTCCATTGACAATTTACTGCTGTACACTTTCTCACACCTTACTAATTACTCAGAATTTGACAGCATGACTTTATGACTCAAAAAGGCCCATTTTTAAATGAGAGATAAAAAAACACAAAAAGAACACTGCTGGCTATTAAATAACATATATTTATCTGACTTCTCTTACCTGAAAGTCATGGCAAATGAATCAGGCTCATCTCTCTTTCTAATCAGAAAGGCTCCATCTCGAGGAATTCGCATCAGCATGTCTTCTGCCTCTCCTCGACTCAAGTTGCTATAGTACCAACTACAGTCAAGAATCAAAATGGACAAAGGATTACAAAGCCTCTCTGATGTAATTCAGTAACACTAACAGGTAGCGTTACTAACAACAGAATCTCTAACACTACAAGAAGAATTATGCATTCAATTTTCCACACCTTGCCATCTACAACAGCATCTTATTACAAAATAACACAACAGCTTGTTTTGGATTAAATCATCAAGAAGGCGGCAGAACACCTTGCCTCCCTGCAATGATAAAACATAAATAGCATTTCTTCACAAAGCAAAGTCACTGGATTCTATTTCTCATCTGCCATTCAGTTTTCAGTAGTTACAATCACAGTTTTGACACAGTATTTTCATTTATCTGTATTTGGGCTTCTCCTTAATCCTGCTAGGTAATTGACTCTAAAAGGGAGAGACATGAGATTTGACAGATGGACCACTCAGTGGATAAGGAACTGGCTCAGTGATTGCATTCGAAATGCTGCCCGATGTTCAAGTGGAGACCAGTGACAAGTGGCATCCCTCAGGGGTCAGCACTGGGAGCAGTGTTATTTAACATCACGGTTGGTGACGTGGACAGTGGATTGAGAAGCTTAAAGTCATAGGTCTATATTTTTCAAGCACAGGAGAATTCTTTTTTCTGATTGCAGAGAAAACAGATCAAAGGGCAGTGATGAGAGTGTTCTCCCATCAAACAAGAGCAAGCTCTGCCTGTGATCTATGTCAGGTAAACAGCAGCTGGAAATAAACATCAAGCTATGCTACTTCCAATTAGCATGGGGCCAAGTCAGCCTAACCAATTCTGACAAGGGTCAGCTGGAAGTGAGGATTAGGGAAGGAACTCTTTTGGGCCCACTGCTCCAGTTGTAAGAGTTTCCAGATGGCACAGTTGCTATATCACAGTCAACTACTAAATATCTAACCCAACCCAATGGGTACTATAAATCACTAAGCAGAGAAGGAAGGGATTACACACTTCCACAGCAATACAGTTCTCACTGATTTTTCTAGTTGTTGTTAGTAAAATTGCTCTCCCAGTGACTGCCCTGTTTCAACAGGTTCTGACAAAGTCAGTGATCTTATTTGCCATCTCTCAAGGAGGTTTACTCCTCTAACATCCACGAACAACCAACACTCAGGTATGCTCTGGAGAATCTTCTGAGCGAAAATCCAAGATCACATAAGAAATGCAAAATACTCTGTAGGATCACAGCCCTGCTGCTTGCCTTCTGTTGTACATACTCTTTATTTTCATGAGGGCTGGGATTGGGCACAGCGTCAGTCAGACGCAGCTCAAATTCAGCACATCTCAAGTGGACCTCCTTGTAGTGTTGAATGAGATCATAGATGCTATCAAAAGTGACGTTGTCTGTCAGGTAGTATTTCACAGTGTCCCCATCACTTGAAGAACGGATACGGCAGTGCTGGACTCTACCTGATCTCCTGAAAAAGCAAAGAGGGGGATAAGAGGAAAGAAAGGCATTATAACAGGTTTTATTCTTAAGCATTTCCTCACCCATTAATAGTTATCTACTTGGTAAACTTGTGAAAAGGCAAGAAATCTGTATTATCTCTTAAAATAACCTAAGCAGCAACAGCTACAAAGATCCTGACAAGTGTTATCACAATCCCCAAAATACTATTTGTCAGTACACAGTTGTTCAAATGTTGCAAACACTCCTTCAAAATTTCTTCTGACAACTCTGATGGCTCAGAAATCCATGTCAAAGACTCCTCAGCAAAGAGCAAAAAAAAAAAAACCAAAACCAAAACCACACCCAACAAATTATCATGCAGATTTATTTATTATTTTCCCTCAAGTGGATATTTTCATTGAAAAGAGAAATCTCTGCTAATAAAGGCCACGAGCGTGGAAATGGCAAATCAGTGTGGAAACTTGTAATTTATGCCAGATCAAGTTTTGGCCTTTTGTAGAAGTAACAAATCCTGCATCCTGATGGAAGAATAGAAATGTGAGAAAAGGAAAAATAGATCAGAGCAGTCAGTCCCCTCTTGAGAACTGCAACCCTTCAAGTGCAGCCTGCTCTACTGTAAGGTGCTATTCTGTGCATCAAAGTTCAATGCAGCAATACTCTGTCAAATCCAATCAGTACCATTCTGATAAATAAAAACTACTTATTTTCTTACTTCCTCTCAGATACAAACACATATTTACAAGATACAAACAAAATTTATACAAAGCTTTTATGACAATCACCATACCAGAATGACAGGGTGCAATCATTGGGGAAAGCCTCGCTCTCCCTAACTAGGAACGTCCCATCCTTGCCACCCATTTCAGCACAATATTCTTGGAGCAGCTTCTCAGCAGTTGTTCTCCCCTCTTTCATTTTTCCATGGAACCATTTCTCTTTTAAGTGCAGTTCAGTACGTTTTACCTCCTAGAACATAAAATGAGAATTTTTATTGTCCATTTCTAATTAATAATACTTAGCCAAAGGCATATAAGAACTTGGACTGGATACATCAGCATTAAAATTTAACTATCAAAATCACTTTTCTTTGTCTTTGTACTCGTCATTTGTATGTCCTCAATTAGCCAAGGGAAAAAATATGTAGATTTTTTTATTAAAACAGAGACAACTGGAGTACTTGGCAAAGATCCCTTTTCAAAAACTTATTTGTAGATACATATACTGTCAGATACAGATTCTCTCTAACTTCAATAATGTCAATATAAGAAATACATATCTGTTAACAATGAAATGAGAGATTAAAAAGAAAACAAGTAATAAAAAATAGCCATCACCTTTGATGGATCCTCCTCTGCATTCTGTTCTATGACATCACTGAATGAAAGCTTTCCATCAGCAATAGCACAGTAGTGCCGAGTCCATTGCTAAAAGTTGAGAGAGATTAAAACTTATTAATAAAATAACAGTCAGACTCAATTTCCAGCACCTAACAAATTTCCCCTCAATCATACCATGAACTGAGGATACAAATACCAAGAAGACTCATGTACACTTCCTCCAGTATTACACAGCATAGTAGCAAACCATAGCAAACATCATATAAGCTGTACCTGTTCTATTGCATCCCACATGTAAAGTTCTCCTTGTTGCTTCTTTTCTTCTTTCTTGTCTTCCAGGTTGACATCAATGTCTCCCTTTGGCCCCAGTTTTTTGTGCTAAAAAGAAAAGGAAAAAAAGACAGTGTATAAATTACAGTCATACAGAATTACATGCAAAGGTGATCACACAATCTCACATACTCAGTATTACTGGAATTATCTCCCTCCTTTGCTCAGCTTTCTATAGTATTACCAGAACAGCAGCTGTTCCACAAAGCCTTACTCAACAGTAGTGGAATTTATCTTTAAGATTTAAATGTCAAAGCAAGGATTTAAAAGATAGTACAGGTATCATTCAAGCAATGAAGAAACTGATAAGCTTACAGTTCCTTAGGGGACACTTGCATAACAAGAAATAAGGACCAGACAAGACAGATTCTACATAGATCAGGAAATAAGGAACAAAAACAAAACCAACAAAAAAATAAAATGAAGCACACTGTCCTAGAACAAAAGTTATCGGAAGCGAAATATTTTATGGAAAGGGATTAAGTTCTACCTTCTTCTCCTTGCCACCTAAGTCCTAGTCTATGGAGCACACTATTACGCCAGTGCAGAAAGAGGTAAACCCAGCAAAGACCTGAGTAGTGCTACGCAATTTAGCCCAAGCAGAATTACTTATTCAAGTAACTTATTCAAGCAGTATGAAAGATACTAGACGGATGAACAAGAAGGGCAAGTTACTGCAAGGTCAGGAACAGCACCAGTGCTTGTAGGGGGTGGGGGAAGACAGCTCTCAATTCATAGCTACTAAAGTTCATGGGGTTTTCATGCAGCACACAATTTGGCTGACACAAAAGCACAAGCCAGTACCCTTGAGAAGTATTTCACATCTAACTCCTGCTATATACACACTGAAAAAAGTCCTCAGTTTCAATGAAAAATGATGACATGACGCTTTAGACAATCCCAATGCAGCAATGAAAAGCTTATGACAGGGCATGATAGGAAAGAGAAGAAAGAAATCAAATACAGCCCACAGAGCAAATCCTTGGAGAAAAGGTTGAACAGATGAAATTGCAATAGCTGGACTATTCTGAAAGCAGACTGTAAAAGAAGGAAAAGGCTGGCCACAGCATGAAGAGCAAAAAAAAGAAGAAAAAAAAACACAAAAAAATTAGAGAGCAGTACTTGTTGCAACTGCTGTAATTTCCTTCTTGTAAGAACATTGTTTCTTTAAAAGTACATTAGAAATAGTTGTAAGTGATCAGTGTGCTTTCAGTACTCTCTCATTTAACTACATGCTGAAACAACACAATGCAAGCTATGTTGAAGGGTGAGGCTCAGCAATATCTACTATCTTTAAAGGGCTCATGAAAAACAGAGGCTCAAGGGGCTAAAGATAATATCAAATACTTAAACTGCAGTTAATGACAAGATTAATCCTCTCACAGGTAGTAGTTCTCAAATACATTCAGTTCTGCAAACTCCTCTATAGGAAGACTTCAATTTGACAGACTTATCTGAAAAATCCCACAGGCCCTTAGAGCAGGAATCGACTGTTTACTGACAACATTTGCCAGGCAAAAGCCAAATAACACAACTAGCTTACTGACAGGTGCTGATCTGTTTATAAAAACTCTCCAATGCTGTTTTAGAGAGGAAAGAATGATATGGATGTTCTCATGCAAAGTTTGAAATTCCCTTTAAATCAGATCTGTCACGTTATTTATTCATGTGTCTATACAATTCCCCTTCTATGCTTTGCATGGTAATAAGACAGTTTAAAGAAAGAAAAAAAAAAAAGAGAAAACTAAACATAAATTTAGACTTTCTACTTCCTGCTCTTCTGCACCTCACAGTGGGGTTCTATCATTTCCAGTCCTACTTTAAAGAACTATGCTTATACCCATCTACCCTTGTTTCTTTTGTTCTGCAGTTCATTACATGTGACATAGTACTGTGACAAGAGCTGGAAAACAAAAACATGGGCAAAAAGCAATTTTTATTTCACTGAAAAGATCAAGAGCAGCCTCAGATTATCCACCTAATTTTGTCTTTCAAAAAAGTTCTATTGCAGTTTCAATCTAAGACAACTTCTTTCAATTATATGTCTCATGTTGTTGCATTAGACTACCAAGTAAAACATCAGTATTGCCTAGCAGGTAGGAGACCCTCACAGTGAATGCCTTCCAAGAGAAGCACTGCAGTCTTTAAGAAGTGGATTACAAAACTGTATGTGTAAAAACTGAGTTAGTAAACACCAATCAATTTCTGCAGTTTGCAAAGCAAGCAATCCTGACAGCTTTTATAAGCCTGCAAGTGCTTTAGGTTTCACGTGAAGGTCAGGCATTCTTTGAAAAAACAGCTGACCTTAAGCCTACTTTCTATCCAAGAACATACTTTCAATATTTTTAGCCCATTACTAATTGTTTAAGAAGTCTGTGAGCCTCTGCAGCAATTAAGTCTTGCTAAAATTTAACAATGGCATTTCAGAAGGTGGAAGACCTTTAGAAAAGAGCTGACATTCCATCTTGCACGTAAATTATCGATACTTGTAAAGAAAACTACCAGCAAGCACTTCAGCATGCATTTTTACAGAACTCCATCCAAGATAGCAGATTGGAATGGGGTTTCTTGTCTCTTCAATAGAAACCAATGGTTAAGCTGTGAACTCAAAAGAAGTACTCTGGCTCCAGCTTGTCTTCCCACTTTATCTACCAGCACACAACACAAACTTACCTTGATGATGATTTTTTCTTTCAGTTGAGTTGGTGACGGTAGCTGATCTGCACTAGCCTCAACAGGTTTCATTAAAAGCTGATCCCCAAATACCTCCTTGAACACTTTGGCCATGTGTCGCTGCTGTTCCACACTACAGTGCTCTTCAATTGACAGAATGACTGGGTATCTTTGAAGAAAACAGACGAATGAAGTCATTCCTCTTGCTCCAACTGAGAAGGCAAGGAAAACACCACCCTATCTCAACTCCCAAATAAAGAAAATCTTTAAAGCAAACAAGATGGCAAAAGGAGAAGTTATACACACAACAGATACGGTCAGAAGGTACCTCTGGAAACCACCTACTCCAAACCCCTTCTTTAGAAAGGCCCAATTCCTAAGTTAGATCAGGCTGCTAAAGCTTTGTCCAACCAAGTTTTGAATAGAGGCAAGGACAAATAATTCTTAAGTGTTAGAAGACAGCAACCAGTCTCTCTCATTAATCTCTTCTACAAATTCAACAAACTTAATTCTGTGAGCCTACCCTTGGCCATCATGTGCTCTGACTCTAATATTGAAAACTAAGGCAAAGAAGATATAGAGCACTTTAATCTTCTCTGTAAGTCTCCTGTCCAATTCAGCAGAAGGCTCAGTTTTCTTAATCTTCCTTTTGTTGCAGTTCTACTTGCAGAAGTTTTTCTTGTCCTTCACATTTTCTCAGTGCTTTAATCTCCAGATGAGCTTTGGCTTTTATAATTGTCCCTGCACATTCAGAAAATGCTTTGATATTCCTCCTGAGAAGCGTATCCCTTAATGAATGTAGGGAAAGCATCACACCATACTAATGGTTTGACGAAACCAACTTGCCCTACAGTTTTCATTAACACAAGTATGCCTCCCATGTTTAAGAAATTAATCCTTGTCCTCTACATCCAGTTGATAAAGAGAAAAATCAGAAGACTGGTAGCCCTCACTCATTCCCAATTTTCTTGTTAAGGACATCTCAGCATGAGGTTTAGAAGAAGTGCACAGCAGAAGTGCAGATTTAAACTCACATTGCCAGTTCAGGAATTATGAGTTATGGATCAATGAATTCTATGATCTTCCCTACAAGCAACCCAATAGATAAGTAGCTTGTCACTTCTCATCTTCTTGTTTTTTGTTAGTTTAAGACATACTATTCAGAATTTGAAGTTTCATATTTCAATTCAGTAAAAGAAGACCTAAGCAAAGAGACTGGTATTCACTTTACTCAAAACTGAATCAATTAAAAAAAATCTATATTTGGCTAGAAGACTACGATTTCATTCTTCCTTTATTTCTTTTTTCTTCAAATCACAGATGGAAATAGTTCAGGAAAGTCTCAGCATTCAAAAACAAGATTAAGGAAAATAAATCAAAGCTTACTCAGATGCAACAAAAGCGTGATCTTTGATTGCCTGCACTACATCATCAAATTTGATCTTTGTTGTCCGTGTCCATCCATGGTAAATGATGGGCTTCCCATCAGGACCATCCCAGCAGTCCACTAGAAAAGACGAGAGGAAAAATGAAGACATCAAGCAGTAGAAAGGATATAATGCACATCCAGTCCTTTGGTTTCACACACTGAGTCATACACTGAGTTCTAATAAAATATTCTATTTGTTGAATTAATCTTTCTCGGAGAGGCAATTAAGTTCACTAAGAGCACTACCAAGAAAACAAAAGACAATTTTTTCACAAAGCATTCCTACCTGGGAATCTGAAAAAGAGAAACTCAGGCAGCTACCTGTCTTTTTACTAGATTACATGAGCTTTCCATGGAGAAATACATCCCAATAAGCTAGGAGCGTATTTGTTTTGATGACTTCAACCCCAAAGCTCTAATTTGACATGGTTTTGTACTTCTCAAATTGAAGGGGGCCTCTTGTTAATTATTACAAATGTTGACCAAGAAACTAGCATATCAAGAAACTGGTGAAATAACATGAAATTCTAGTCAAACCTTTCAAAAAGATAAACAAATACAGGGGTAGAAGAAGGATAATGAGTTAGTGGAGAACAATACCAAGATATCAATTGCTTTGCAAGCAAATTAAACAAGCTGGCAAATACTACAAAATTATGAAAATCTGGAGATTTAGGACTGTTTGTATTACGATGAAGGCAAATAAACTTTTTTATGCATCTACACTGAACAACAAGTAATCCAAATTTAAATCTTACACTTTCATACTGCAAACAAAGATTGAATAGCTTGTGTACAGTGAGATGAGATTTAGACAGACTGTCTTGGAATTCCAAGGGAAGAAGAACCAAGCAAGGAAACAGGGTAATAGTGAGACATGACAAAAATGAACTTAGGGAATAGGTGTTTGAATGTGACTAACTTCAATTAAAAAAAAAAACAAAAAACACCTAGTTCTTTATTTCAGTTCTTTTTTAGTAAACAAGAGAAACAGTGCTTATAAGGAGAACTTGTTATAAACCACTCCATGAACTCATTACTTACACTCAATACATCGGCATCCCATTCTAAGACACCTGACGTAAGCTTCAGTGGAGGATTCACTTCGAAGCTGGTCTCCTGTCAGATATCTAAGGAATAAGGAAAAATTGCAAGAGAACACAGGCAAATAATTTCAATCAGTTCCCACTCACCCACTAGGCAAAATGTTTTCTTCCATTATGAAGGCAGTATGTTGATTTTACTGACTTCTTTTTTGAGAATTTGCTGCAGAATAGCCAGATTCTACTGAACCAGATGCTCTTCAAGTCACAATAGTAGTACAGAATTTTTCCACAGGGCAAGTGGGTCATTACAGCATTTTTAAGTTCAGATACAAATAATGTTAACATGACCTCAACAAGTCTGTCAGAGCTTGGAAAAATTGAAGCTCACTCAATATCTTTCATTTCTGGAACAGTTTGAGCTCAAGGCTTATTTTGTAACAGGATTCAGGATTTTTGCAGAAGAGCTCAATCATATCTCAAACCCTACATAAGACAGTAAAAGAAGAGGAGAAAGGAATCCCAGAAGCTGTCTTTGCCACATTTACACCACACTTCAGGAAGATCTCACACAACCAGACAGTGCATTTCTGGATATCGTAATTTAAAAGTTTTACTTCCTCCTAACGTGTGCCAAGTCTGCTTGAATGGAGATAAACAGTGGGACTTCTGGTAACTTACGTGTTATGAGAGGAAGAAATCCAGTAGTGGGACAAAGGATTATTCATGTCCTGCACATCTATTGTATCATATTTCTCATCCCAAATACTGTTCTCTTTTGCGAAAAGGTAAGTGAGGAACTAAAATACAAGGAGACAGAATTCAAATGTTTTGACCATGCAAGACTAAAAGAAATCCAACAATGTAGCAGAAGCATCCTAAAGGTTCTGTCAACCCATTAAGAAACCAAGTGCTAGCAGTGAAAGAAAAATGTTTGTAAGAACTATTAGAAAGTATCATCATCTTACTTCATCAACAAAGAGGAAGGGTTCGGCAGTTTCTCTCATAGTGTCATCTACAAACTCAGTCATTCGTTCTCGGACTTTACTCAGATCTTGTGCCCAAGATTCCTTCAAATTATAACAATAAAGTAGAAAATAGCTTTAGATGTGGTGATATGCTATATAAAATTCAATAAATAACAGAGAGGCCTACAGATAGACATAATTAACCACTCAGCTATCTTACTGCCAATGCATTTTGTTGTATGCACATTTCTAAGGAGTTTCTCAAGAGTTGCTCAGGAGGGAAACAAGTTTTCCAATCAAGTACATTTATGTATACTGAATGCCCACGACTTACACACTACATATATACACATACACACAGGAAAATGTGGCCTCCTGTGAGTATATGCCTTAACAACCTCTTTTCACTTCTAAGTGCAATCTGAACACCCTTTTAACACAGTGAAATAAGAGAAAAAGAAACTAGCGACTTTATACAGGAAGTGCACCTCTGAATTTTCAATCATATTTGCAAATCTGGAATTTAGCAGTGACTAGAAAATACCACACTATGTAAAAGGCATAATGATAGAGAACCAGAACACAGACTGATTCCAGCAGTAGTCTCAGACTCATTGAATGGCTTGGGTTGGAAGGGACCTCAGGGATCGTCAGCTCCAACTCCCCTGAGAGTCACTCCATCATATCCTTTTATCAATGTCTAGCCTTAAAGATTGGCCTATATATTGAATTATAATTTTTCTTCCACAATGTCTGTGCTAAATATGATCACAGAAGACTATGAAGACAGATCTAATTCCTGCCTCCATCGTTATCTGCTTGCTGGAATTGAACACCAGACTAGCCTCATTCAAAAGAAAATTAACTTGAATGTAGGCAGTCAGCTCAGCTTTTTATTTATGAGCTGACAAAATGGGGCCATGGACACGGTAATACCCAGATGAATCCATGGTGACAACTCTAACTAGGTCAGGCTACCATGCAGCGTTTATTTCCAAAATTTCTGTTTATCTACATGACTAAATGAAGACCCTCATTTATCCTATTTTCCTCTAGTGCACCCTTAGAGTCTTTACATGGATAAACAATAGTTCTTGTGAAATTCAATAGCAATGAATAAAGAGATATCTTTCCAAAACCCAGAATTTGATTTATGTCAGATGTAATACTACAACATAACTTTTCCATGGGTCGTTCTGTTGTTGTTTTTAAAGCCACGTGCAATTCTGAGAGACAACCTCAAGAAAAAGTAACTCACAACTTCTACAACTTTCCCACCTGCTGCTCATGTAGGAGAAACCTCTGAAAGTCATGGAGATGAACTGCTGAAGCATCTGGACGGTCAGTATTTCTTAAAAAAAATAAAGGGAGTAAGAAAGAAAAAGTGTCATCAGATGTTACAGCAGAAGATGACTGGGATTTTTATTTTGCATTTGCAGTATAAATGTGCAGCTAGCACTAAGAAACTTTTTATAACCGCAGTGGAATTTAGATTAGGTTTGTAATGTTGTATTATCACTACATTTTGAGCCCTTAAACCTCCTACATTCTTGATATATTTCTGATAGTGATTCGCCAAGAAAAGTACTGAATTTCTGTTCACTGTTTTGTAGCATATGAACAGCATTCACTTCACAGGGGTATTAAGTTTATTTGAGGCATATGCAGAGATCATTCTTTTGAATTACCACAGAGCCCCACTTCCATAAATAACTCCTTCCATGTATTATTCAGATGATCTACTGTGAAAGGCAAAACCTTCTTGAAAAAGGAGGCAAGTGTCAGCATTCTGCTTGAGTCCAGGCAAAGCCTGCGTACCACAGCTCTCCAGATTAGTCTCTTTTTAATAAAATCTGAAGGTAGGTCAATTTGCTTGTTCAAATCTATGCCATTTTTCTAGCCAGAAGGTATCATAGAATGAATCGCAGAATGGCCTGGGTTGAAAAGGATCTCAAAGATCATCTATTTTCATCCCTCCCGCCACAGGCAGGGTCAACAACCACTAGATCAGGCTGCCCAGAGCCACATCCAGCCCGGCCTTGAATGCCTGCAAGGAAGGGGCATCCACGACCTCGCTGGACAACCTGTTCCAGTGCGCCACCACCCTCTGAGTAAAAACATTTACCAAACAGTATTCAGAATGTACTTCCATGATAAATTCACTTTTCTGAATACAGTAAGATTCATCTTTCCTTTTCACTTACTACAGAGCAGGAACAAAAAACTGTGATTTAATTAAAAAACATCTTGCAGCACTGCAGCCATGTGTATACTTGGAGAAATAATATAAATGAGGAGTCTCACCCAAGAATGAACACAGAGGAATCCTTTTTGAATTCATCGAGAATCTTAAAGAAAAAAAAAGAGAGAGTGGGGAGAGAGAAGAGGTAAGGAGGTAAGATAAAAAATAAGAGAATATGACATTTTCCAACTAATCCCATCCAAGGTGGACAATTGCATATCAGCCTTGACGAACTTCATCATAAATATGTATCATAAAATCATTACAATATGGAACAGACTTGAACTGGGGTTTGACTACTGTACGTGCAGCTGAGATTTTGGCTCATGATGGCCCAAATAGCAGCAGCAGAAAATGTGCTATTGATAAAGGACCTCACACACACAGCCAGTCAATTTTCTGGGGAGCTCTTATTGCTCTATATCCCACATAAAATCGAATTGCATATCTTCCATCATATTTATTCATTTGAATTTAGAATCTATATTGCTTCCAGCTTGGAGCAACCCTAGCAAGAGATCACGGGAAACTTATCAACTGAATCGTAGCAGTTGTTGAGCGAACTGAGGATTTCTTTGAAATGATCCACACGGGATGATAACCAGAGTCTAAGAAGTCAGGTAATCTCCTTATTTTGTGTTTTACTCTTCAGCTTTCTACTCAGGCTAATTAACTAGATTTTCATGACTAAAACCAAAATCCTCGCAGTAAACAGAGATTATTAATTTGAAATAATTTCAGCATCACCTTTAAGTAGCACAAGAAAGCACTGCTGCCAAAAAGAAACAGCTCTGATTCTCAATGTTTCTGTTCTTAACAAGTGGAAGTTGAATCAACAATACATTCATCATCAGTAAAGACATGCATGCAAGTAATTTCAAATAGGTTGACTTCACAGTTGCAAAGAGTTCTTAATTTTCAGAGGCCCTAAATATATGCAGGTTTCACCAGCCTTATCAAACTAGGCAATTAACACAAGAAAATGACAGTCAGGCAGTTATTCCACCGCATTCATATTGCCCAAGCACCACCTGAAGCATGCTTGTAATTTCTGAGCGTGAGCCAAAGGAGAACAATAGCTATTATTTGATATTTAGGATACATCCCAGTGATTTACAGAATGATGTGGTGCAAAATCACTAGAAGTATGAAAAATCATTATCAGTAAAGAGATTACCAAACTCTATTTGGAGACGTTCTGTTTACCATCAAAGTCTCACAAGAAAAGTTATTCCTAGAAATGCCATTATTCATCTTCTTAAGCCAATTGCTGATGGTGATTGTTGCCCAGATGTCAAGCATTCTACTTTCTGCTGTTACAAGAATAGCATTCCTTCTCTAATCTGATCAATCAGTTTAACATTATGAAGACTACTCATTAAAAAACTTACCGATTTCTGTTGTTCAAACATGATCTTTTTGTAGAACAAATGAAATTGTTCAAAACTAAGCTCTTCCTTGTGAGCACCTATTTCCTACAACAGAAAGTTGCATGAAACGAATTGAGAGTTCCATGAAATCTGCACAGCATTTGCACAGCATACAAGTTACTTCTACTTTTGCTGCCACCATCACACACATTGAATTCCATCTGATTTCATTTTATTTTTTTTTTTTATTTGGGGATTATTACTTTTTAATACTGGGGGGGAAGAGAGGGAATTGGATTTTTGTCCTTTTGTTTTGCACCCTGACATTTGGTTTTGTACCCTTACTGAGAATGAAGTAGTGTCTGCAAAGAGAGTGAAAGTTATGTCTGTATTTTCTTAAAGACTTACATGCAGGCAAAGTCAAAACTAGAAATTAATGAACAATGTGAATATAATGTAATTATCTGTACACAATAACAAAAAAGGGTATAGAGTTACTTGAACAGAAATATCAACGTCTATCAGACAATACAAAACAGATTAAATTTAACAGGTTATTACCACAAATTTATCCTTCAAGAACTTCATGCTGCTCACTTTGAAGTTTACTTGGGGAAGGATAGCTTTCAGCTCTCTAAGACTGATACTGAAAAAGAGAAAATACAGCAAAAAAACAGAACAAAACAATAAAACGCTTACGTTGTATCTGGCCAGCTACCAATATATTTTTAAATCAACACAAAAATGTTACCAATGAAACATTTTTGGTAGGACATCTTTTATGATTATAAACTCCTGTAAATATAACAACTATATGGGAGCAAGCTTGACATTTTCTAGTTAGTGGGGACAAACAGGCATTTCAATCACATTTTTCCATTCTCTCATCAACCTCAGACTTTACTCCAGCCTTGCAGCTACTACTGCTATGGCCTTCTACAGTGCTGTCTCAAAGCAAATCACAATTCTTGTAGTTATCCTCATGGTGTAAATAGGAGCTAAGGCAATACTATTATAACTCTTGGTTGAGGGTTGATTTCCAAAGGGGCTAGATGCCTAAACACTTTAAGTGTGCTGCTGGTACAGGTGAGTCAGTCTGACTGTACCCTGCTGATACAAGAAGTCACTCCAACCCCTCTTGTGCTCCTCTCCTTCTTTGCTTCCACTGACCAGTTCTGACTCTCATCAAACCTTCAGTTAATATGACTGAATTTGTTAGGCCGGGAAAAAAGTCTAAAGCTGCAGGGAGAAAAAGTATTCACATCTTCCACTGGCTTTGTGAGCTCACCCAGCTCCATAACAGCATCATAGCTGGAATAAGCAAAGAGTCGTGAGAGCCTGATTAGAAGCACGTAAAGATGGTGAAGAAAAAGGAAAGAGCATGACTTCATCCACCCAGCAGCACCAAGTTGATACACCAGATAATCCATTCCGTGCAGCTCCATATCAGTGGCCTGCTACTCCATTTGTCTTTGGATAGGAAAGAACAGAAATTAGGCTGTGTGTCTTAGTACAGAGTTTCATACTTTGGGCAGGTATGAGGACTCAAGGAGGTCACAGCATTAAAATGGGATGTGTGAAGGGCACCAGGGCAAGTCCTAGGCTGGAATATGAAGGGAATAAAGATTCATAGCAGCAAATTGAAGTAGGGAAGAGATGAGAACACAAACACATCTATAGGTGCTACAGCCAACATCAGTTGGGTACCAACAGTACCCAAGAAAACGAGGCTAAGGTGCTCTGCCTCTACCCCGACTGCAATTCATAAGCCATTAACTCTAGGCAAACATGGGATCAGAACAGAGTAACCTGAAAGAAACAAAAGCAAGAAGCATCTAGATGAAAATAACACTTCTGTTCCACTGTGTCCCTGCAAGCAGCTGCCCTGTGTGAGATCCTCATCTCCACTGTGTACAGAGAGAAAACGGCAAAGCAAGAAGGAACTTAGCCAAAATCTATGCCAAAGCCAGATTAGAAGTCAGGAAATTCCTGGCTTTCCTCCCTGTCGTCAGATCTCTGGAAAACTACTCCTTGTAGGAGCAAGAACGATCATTCCGCTCGCACCCCAAACACCAAGAACAAGCAGTTTACTCTGGCTGAACAAGCACAATCCAAAACAAAGAGCTGGGGCTTCATCACCACTGGCAAAAACTCAGCACAGTAAATAGGACTTGCCTGGAAGCATAACCTTTACAATCAACCTCCTTAGAAACTGCAGCACTAAACAAAAAGAAGTCCAGCTCACACTCCTTTCCTGAAATTCTCTAAATGAATCATCTGCCAGAACAAAGAACTGCCCTCTCCTCCTGCAAGCCCCCTCGAACCTCAGCAGATTGTCTCACAGTGATGAAACAACCCTGAAGCACCAAGTGAAACCTCTTCAGCAGGCATCCTGTCAGCTACAGCTTCTGTACCTTAAAGTTTGTTTTTGCCTCACGATCCCCCTCCAAATACCTCAATTGTGAGCTAGTTTTACAAAATGCATCAGGAGGTGTAAGCCAGCATCCAGTCAAGGCCCTTCACTGTTCTGAGCAGTTTTGAAAACACCATTCCTCAAACTGTCTTGGTTCACACCGAAGCCAGCTGCACAACACCATGGGCTGTCTGCAGAAGGGTGTTATTTCCTGCAATAACAGTCTTATTCACAGTAAAACATCACACTTTATTCTGTTGTAAGGAAAAGGTCTAAATGAGAGGAAACACATGTTCTTTTCCAGACTTAGAAAAGAAATGAACATTACAAAGAGCAAAATCATGGTAATATAATACATATGGATGAAAAGGGGTTAATGTTCTTCCCAGTGTTCTACATGTTCTGGCAACTTTAACCAGAAATGTGCAGCTGAATACATTTAGAAAGTCCCTTTTGTTGTGCAAAAGCTGCAAACCTACTGCACACACTGAGCTGAAACAAGGTCCTGAAACTCAAACTACAAAGCAACACAGCACAAGGGAACCTACAAGCCCATGGCATTTTTTCCCACGAGAAGCATCAGCGATGCTTTGGCCTATCTGAATATGTGGCAAAGACAAACCCATGTATCTAGCCCAACTGCACAAAAATTTCACTCAACAGCAAGCCTTCAAAAAGCAGAACAAAACAAACAACCCCCCCCAAAAAACCAACATACAACCAAAGATTTTTGTCCTTATTCCAAATAGTTAACTTCGTTTCTCTCTGTAGCTATCATCAAAAGCGTCTTTGGTTTCCCACTGTTAAAGGAACTTTTTTCCCACAGTATTACCCTGTCACAACAATGTCTTCCCCAATACACTCATCAAGTATCTCTGTTATCTCTCCTTCCTCTAAATACTCTGTTCTGTTCTTGTCTCAGCTGTGACCCCCTGCAGGAAAGAATTCATGTTATTGCTTGGGACAGCCCTGTCTCTGGATGTATCTGACATTGCTGCCTTGATTATTCTCAAACCAGATACCACACACACTAACCATGGTCTGAAACCAGGTAAGGCTATTCATTTAAACACTGACCCTGGGTCTTTAGCAGCCCATGCTGAACTCTCCTTATGCAGTCTGATTGTCCCAGGTGCCCAAGAAGGCTTTTAAGAGCTGGGTTTAGTCTGTCTACAATAGATCATAGTCACTCCAGCACTCTTCACAGAAAGTCTGCACAGGAAAACTAACAGCAGGCTATGCAAACAATGCTGCTGGGGGCCAAGCTGGCTATTAAGGGGTAAAGACCTCTGTAAAGCAAGCAACTTAACAAACCTGCACAGCTGAGCTGAGTCTCTGCAGAAAGAATAGGGGGAGGCGATTGCCTTTCCTTATTCTAGCAAAGTAATTCTAGGCTAAAAGCAAAAGCATTTACTTCTCATCATTTGTTTCCTCGTATCACATACATGAACCTATTGTTGCATCTAGCAAAAGGCAACACTCAAGTTGTTAAAGCAAGAGCAAACACCATTTCAAGGGATGTCATACATGTTAACTCTGGTGAAGAAATATTTATTTCTCTTTGTTCTGTGTTAGGGCCTGCAAGAAAAGTTCATTAAAAACAAACTGAACATAAAGAGACAGTTTCTTACCTATTTCTTCTAGTCTGATCAACAGAATAGATCTGCTTTCTCAGCCAGCTTGGGGGAAAGGAGGAAAAATGGGGAAAATAGATTTAATCTGAGAATAATGAAGAAAATATAACAAATGAAATATCAAAATCTGGAGACAAAATTCAACAGAAGCATTTAAAAATCAGAAAATGCATGTCTTTTGATAAAGCAGAAATATTTTCAGCGCAGCATCTAAGCTTTCAAATGGTTTTGTAACTGTATTTGTAAATACATACTTTTTTTACTACATAATACTGCATTTTAAAGCCAGATAAACAATACAGGAAAGGGAAGGGTGTGCACAGCACAAAAGAATGAACATAAACTATAAACATGTTACTTGCTACAGTGGGCCTAGACTTCAGCTAACCCAAACTAGAGTTACTTGACCAAGTCAATAATTTATGATTAGGCTCCTGACTCAAAGTTCTGTTAATATGCATAAAAATTAAAAGCAGGGGGAAGGGAAGAACAGCTTAAAGAATTTTTAAGAAAAGCCTCATTGGAATGCATGTTAGCTTTAGCTGCCCAGCAAAATACTGTTAGCAGTATTAACAGTAAATACCTACACACACTACTGATCTTAGGCTGCTCACAGCATGTTAATGTTAAGCTTATCCTCAACTCTCTAAGGACATCACTTTGTCCACTTCACAAAGAGACTGAAACCTAGCAACACTTTGTGTATCAGCTCTCTGCTATATTATACAACAGATAAAGGGAGGATTAAGTGAATACTTTCTCCCCAGCTTGGAATTGCAAGCAGGTACAGCCAACATCAATGTCAATGTGGCAATTTGGTTAAGTAGACTTTGAGGACCAAGTATGTCCGTAAAACAGGTAACAGTGACACATCCTGAACAGGAAAGTCAGCAGTGATGAACAGCAATCAAATGCAGAAACAATTTTAGAAGCTTGTCATGAAAATTCACATTCTGAATATAAGTTGTTTCAAGTGTGACATCTTCAGAAGCTTTAAGGGTGCCACTGCACCATCATGCTGGCGGCTGCTAAAAGGTAAGCCTTCAAGATGTTCGTTTTCAGCCCATCTACCAAGTGAACTAATCACAATGCCATGTGATGTAATGGTATCAACAGGAGAAATTACAAAAGTGCACGTGTGAATCACTGGGACACAAGAGCTGCAACACACACCTACCAGATCAAGCCTACTGTAACTGCCCAACGTGAATGTTCCAAGAACTTAAGATCAGATGCTCTTGAGATTTCATTCAGAGACCTTGTGTGTGTGTGTGTGTGTGTGTGTGTGTGTGTGTGTGTGTGTCTGTGGCACACAGAGCAAGGTAAACTGCAAGTTCTTAACAGCAAATCCAGAACATGCATATAGAAAAATAGGCATGGAGAATTTCCATAGGATCTTTTTGTATCATCAACTAACTGGCAAGTTGTTGTTTCTTAAGGTAAATGGCAAGCACCACTAGTTGCACTTTAAAAAGTTCTTTTAGGTATTCTTCAAATTCCAAAGAAATGTTAAATCCCACAAAGTGAAAAAATGTCTGCATACCTCTCCGTGATCGCAGGTGTTGGAGCTCTCATGACCTCTTGATACAAGATATTCAAGCCACACAACCATTTATCAGCATCATCTTTAGAATCAGCTGAAAAAAATAATATGCTATGAGAAAGTAGGACATAACTCCTGAAATCTTGCTAAACCCCAGTATACAGAGCTGCAGGTCAACCTTTCTTTTTGATCAATCTCATTGCATAGCTTCATGTTGCTAATTCTAGAACTAATGATACAAAACAGCATAAATTTGGGGGTGACCTGCCTAATCCTAGCAGCACTGTCTTTTAATGGGAGAACAGTTTTCTACATCATTTAGCATCACCGCTTGGTAAAGTTTGAACACAACAGAAGATCTTGGACTGCATTCTGGATTCAGCTTTCCCTGGCAGATACCAATCAAACTGAAATCAGTTTTGGGGGGCCTTGGATGAGATGCTATTTTTACAGCTTTCAGTTGGGCAAAGTAGAGTACTTCTTAGAATGCTGGTTCTGAACCAGCATGATGGCATTCTTCAATTAAACCAGTTCTGACAAAACTGGGAGTTCTAATCTGTGCAAATTCTTTAACTGACTTCAAAGTAAAACAGTTTCTCAAAATATGAAGATTAATTTTTATCTAAACACATTTTCAAACAATGCTTTATCCCCTGGGATGAAGCCAGAGCCCAGCATGTTAGCATATATGGGCCCATATATAGCCCAACAGTTCCCTATGGAAATGTTTTTGACTTAGTTACAATTTTGGAAATAACAAACCAATTCCCTCAAGACAATTCTGGCCTTTATGACAGCCACCGTTCCCTTCTAAGTGGCAACTATTCAATATAGTTTAAAGAAACCAAGACAAAGCCTTAGCAAGGAAAAGGATTTCCCCCTTACTTGAAAGTTATATCACTCATACTGTTATGCACATCAGATTGGAAAGGTTTTCAGAGCTGCAATCTATAAGCTCTTAATTCTCAGACATACATGAAAGCTCTGTTAGCTTACTTGGAGTATATAGCTTCTATAATAAAAAAATAATCATCAAGTAAAAAGGAAGGTACTGTTAGTATCACAGTGCTTAGAAAAGCACTCCTCTTTTCTCCCATTAAGATTTTGCAACAACTTTGATGAATGAAATGGGTGGGCACATTTCTGCATGGGAAGGACAGAGAGAACTACCACTGTGCATAAACTCTCAGTATGATTCTAAAGTGAGTTCAATTACAAGCTTCTCAAAATAGAATCTCTTCACAAACAGAAACCATATTCAGCCTGCACTATAAAAACTGATATCCTTTTTCATTTCAAAATCTTTGATTTTGCCATCCTAAATAATCTCACCTCAAATAAGAAGTGCTCCAAACCTTACCCAAGATGTAGGATGCACTATTTCTTTATTTCCCATCCACTTCTTCACTTTAAATTTATCATCTTCCAATGTTATTTATGGTCCCCTAATCCTTCTTTAGAGGAGGTTTAGTATTATCAAGTGACTCACACCCACACAAACTAAACTAGAATTTCATTTTCAACTTAGCCTGCTCAAAGGTAATAGGAAAGTTTCTGCGATACAGACTTAGTGTAACTCTATGGATACTGATTCCAGAATTGTTTGGCCATACTGAAAATGCCAGGGCAATATTTTGCTCTCATCTTTAACGCAGCCAGATCCTTTGCTGACTTTAAAGAGGACAACATCACCCCTGCTCTTCAGCACTGAAAACTTTACAAGAGAGATTTAATCATCAAAAGTTTTCCTTGCTACAGATGATCGAGCACATCAGAAACTGTGCTAAAAACCTCTGTCAGTGTGATGTTGGGAAGTGATATATCAATATAAACATATACTAAGAGACATGTCATTTATTAGTGCTTTAACAGTAGTTGTCTTCTGATAAACAAATATGAAAGTTACTAAAACATACAGAAGTGTTGGCCATTACAGTGCAAGACAGACTGTGGCAACTGACTCACGTACTACATCCACAAGTTATACAACTGTTCTGTTTAGACAATATAAGGAAAAGTCTCATACAATACACTTGGGCAGCAAAACATTACAAAGGCGTCAGTTCACAGATGTTTAGAGCCAAGTAAAAGGTTTCAGGTTTTAAGCATTTGGTGCACTCCTGAACTGCAGAAGTCAAAAATCATAATACCCTGCATGCATTACTATTCATTAGTGAATTTGGTTGTTCAGTAGTTAGTTCAAAGAGCAAACAAATGAAAAAAAAAAGTTTACCTGCTAAACTTAAGGTATTGAGGACAAATTGGGTACCATAAAAAATAGTGAAGCAGTGTTCTTCTCTGTGTTTTGCTTTGCATCGTTCAAAGTCCTTTGAATTCTTTCCTGGTCGAATTTCTTTTATTTCCATCAGATCCACTGAAAGGAAACAACAGTAAGTCAGTCAGCAGAACTGAACTTACCTTCCAGCAGAGTCTGAAGTAGCAAGACAAAAGACTCAAAACGTGTATGCATGTATTATATATATGTATATTATTATAGATGGTTATATGACAAGGAAGTCAAATTGCAACAGCTTGCAATCCACAAATAAATGACTCGGTGTATTACTGACCAGAAGATAATAGCAGGGAAAGACCAAAAGAAGAAAAATAAATTCTCCTGTTCCTATCATATGCCTTTCACTGTCTATCAATGGACAAAGCTTATATACATAGTCCCTTTGGAGTACGGAAGACATGTTTTCATAAATGGAATTTATACTGAACAAGAAATTTCCAACTGCCAACTGTTCAGAGACAGAAGAATGATATAGGTTCTAATTTACCTAACTAAAAAGTATCCATCACATCTCAGAAAGTCAGCTTGCTTCAGTACATTAACCAAGTGTGTCTGGCACCCTCCAGAAAGTAAAGAGAAAATGCAGCCTGATAATTAAAGCATTTACGAGCCTTTTCCCAGCCATCTCCAAACAGGTATCTGTCATTCAACATAAGCTGCTGTAGCACCTTCGACTTGATTACAGCATAGCCAAGTGGGAACAATGCATAAGCACGCATTTTCTCAAGTCAGCTCCCTTTTTGTCCAACCCTCGTTATACTGCCTGCATAAGAGCAGCGAGATAGCACTGAAATAGAAATATGTGCAGTCTCAAGATAAGATACTTATTAAAAAACTGAGGAAGTGGTTTGTTCTGCCTGTGAACCAAACAAGTGGCTCTTCCTACTTCTGGACAATCTTGAGTTACGAGCTGCAGAATGAAAAGTGAAGAGAAACATTTAATGGCTGTTCTTGAAAAGTGTTTATCAAACCCAGCAAGATCCAAGGAAAATAACTGAGGATTTCTATTCATGCACTGAAGAACTCCATAATAGAAAAATCAAGTTTTAACTGAACACCTCATCACAGTTATTAACACATAATCAAAAAGAAACCCGGCTGCCAACAGGGCGAAGGAGCTAAACATTGGTTAAAGCTTTGGCCCATTATCACTGGGTTTCAGTGTGAAAAGGCCAGTGTGAAAAGGAGGGGGATACAAGCTAGAACATCCATCAACAGGATGCTGGTAAAGAAACATTCATTTATTAATTCAATTTTTTATTCCTCACAAAGTATCCTAGGCCAAACTTCCCACCTAATACTCCTTATTCTTTGACTTCTCTTGGGAAAACAAGACCTTAAATGTCAACCTAAATTGTTCCTAATACACAAGCATCTTTCTTGAACTTATTTTTCCTAGTGTAACATCTTCAAGATAGAGCACAGCTAATGGCTCAACCTTTTCAGTCACTCTTTCAAACTACTAGATCATCTCCTAATATCTGGATGGACAAAAGCCCTAAGATTATGTGTAACCTTCTAATATAAATTCATGATATAACCATAAATGATCCACAACCAGAAGCTCTCACTGACGACTCAAATCTTCTGACAGTCTCACAGATCCCCAGCAGTGTACCTGGATATGCATCCCAACATGCCAGCATCTGAAAAAGATAGGCTAAGCCCACTCAGTCACATTCATCACTCAGGATGCAAAGAAAGAGAGTAGTTTAGTGGCCACAATATACAGCATGGGACCATACACCACGCTAGCTCATGCTGATAATGAACAAGAACAACACCAAGTACATTTTCTTTCCCTTCAACCAACAAATGTCTGCTGAAAAACACAGTTTTAAGTTGAAAGCAAAGCGTACCCTTCATTTCACACTCCCATAAATCCACGCAGAGAAAACACCACACCACAAAGAGACCCTCAAAACATAACCTATAAGCAGAGATAGAACAGTTTCACAATCTGCACTGCTGTTGTCATTTCAAGTGCCTCTTACCTCACCCAGACCTCTGAAACAAACACGCAGCCTTGCTTAATGTCTTCCCTCAGTTACATATGCACTCACTACACTCCTCTGCTTTGCAGTACAATCTTTCAGCCCTACCATTCCACTCTCTCGTGTGAATGTATGTTTTACATATATATGCACAAGGATTTTTGCACACACAGCTTTCATGGTGCTACTGTTAATCTTACAGTCTTCTTTTACTCACGCTGCTTTAAGGACTGGACTGTGGGGATAGATGCTGTTAACAATAGAAGAAAATAAATGTATAATCAATTTAGAGAAAGCTGTATCATTAATGTGTACCAATATTGAAGTGTTGGAATTTGTTCATTTAATAAGGCTTTACAAGAACTATATTGCTCTTACGGGATTTCTCATGTGTTCTTTAGAACAAGCTCCATTAACATGAGTCTACTTCATACTACTGATAGGAAAGTTGGGGTAAAAAGCATCAGAGGGGCAAAGAGAGAGACGTGCACAGACAGGATATATTCAGGTCTCAGCTAAGCCCTGCTGTCCTCCCCACAGGGACTAGAGCTGCCAGCACCCTCCACCCAACGCCCATTGCATCCGGAATGGCTGATCCCAATGATCCAAGAAGGGAACAGCCAGGAAAAGCAGCAACATGTTTCAGACTCAGATTAGTAAATCAACTGTACCAAGTTGCCTGTTACTGTGAACTTATTATAGCACAATCCGTCACCGAACAATTAAAACACAACTTCATGCCTGTGTTAGAAGTAGCAGCACAGTGCCTCGGACACTCCATCTTCTTACTGCACTGATCTTATGGAGCCTTTCTTCTTCTCAATCCTACATGCAAATTGCAGAGTCATTTTCTGACCTGGCTTCATGGACTGATATTCCTGGCGCCATTTATATCTGAAAAAACACAGATCTGAACATACGCAGCTTGCAAATTGTAAGATTGAGTGCAATAGGCTTGCAAGTGCAATTTCCAAGTAACAGTATAAGATTACTGAATTCCCCAAAGAAACAGTTCAAAAAGCGTTCTGTAGAAAAGCTGGCTAACACCCAACAAGATAAAGAGGACATTGTTAATGCATTCATTAAGATGCCAAAGAGTTAAGAAGCTAAGTGCCACTCAAAAATCCTACAACACCAGCTCACATTTCACTCATTCTTCTACGTCATTTTTTCCATGGGTTAAAAGAATCTTCTTGGCAGTCTCATCAGTCCTCAATTGATTCTGACAACTCCCTCAGGTGACTGTTTAACCAGACTGGACTCCAAAGCACCCTCAGTTCCCATTCTGTTTCAGGCTCCTATCTGGATATGCAATTTTCACTGCATTTGTGGCAGCTGCATGTCTGCTCTTGATGCTGTGTCTGTTTAGTAAATCAGTAATTCAGTGGATCATTGCACCACTACACAGCAACTTTCCAAAGACTGCACAGATTAAACAGCACTGTGCAACTAAGAATGCCTCCGAGAACTCTTCACAGCCACAAACTTAACCATCTTCTGATCCATAACATCTCCACTGATATTCACTCAAATAACTTGGCAGCAAAAATCATGAATTGCTGTTACCTTTCTTTCAGCTTCCCCAAGAGGCAGATGGGAAAACAGAACTAGGAGGTGCAGGAATGACGCAAACAGAAGTGCAGAAAACATTACATTGTTGTATATGACAACACTGTGCTGACCATTCCAGGTAAGATTTAAAACAGGAACAAACAAGAACTGCTACCCAAAGGGAATGGTTTGCCTCCTTCCAGCCCTAGCACTCACACATCACTCATTGCTTGCAGGAAGCACAACTATTCAGTGGCCAAGCAGATAACTGCACGAAGGAACTGTGCTTAAAATCAGCCAATGCTAACAGTAGAACTGTAATATGTTAGCTGGAAGCGACCATGTAAGGTCACACTAAGAAAACATGCAATAATACATTAAATGCATTATTTTCTTCATTAGCTATTTTCAACAGCAGGCCCCAGAAGTCTACCAGGAAACTACTGGCAATGTTTCAGAAGGGAAAATAAGGGACTCTGATCATCCAAACGGCACAGACCCAGACACAAGGGTGGGCATTCTCTGTACGAATATTTTTGCATTTTTATGTGTATACATAATAACGTTCTGCACAAGCATTTCAGAACCAGTTTTTAGAATCCACATCTTCTCAACAATTTGCATTACAAAATACTCTAAAGAAGGTTTCATTTCAGAAAGGCAGAAGCTGCCTCCTTCCAGACAGGCAATGTGCAAATGAACACCCATTGAACGAAGAAGGCCTTCAGTATCTTTTTGCAAATGGATTTCACTGCGGTTTGTGAGGACAATGACTTTGCTCTCAGTTTCACAGAATTAAAGATTAACTACACAAGGTGTGTCTCTTATTTTATTCAAAACAGCAGCGAAACACTCTGCACTGTTCTGAAGAGAAAAAAGTGAGGCCTCTCTCACAGAAGGGCAAAGTCATATGAAAGAAGAAAGCTGAAGCACGTGAGTACAGCAGTGGTATGCAAAGTGATTCAGCACATACAAATAGTGAAATTGAAGCCCAAGGAATTACAGCTAAGTCACAGGAGTACCTGAAAGCACAGTTTAAGGAGGCAACATGAGAAATGGCGTGGTGGGTCTTGGCACAGCACCTGAGTACCTTCCCAAGGGGTCCACATGTCACACAGAGCCACCATCTACAGAAACAATGAATTACCATCCTACCAATGATAGCTACACCTTGTGGATTAACAACTCCCTGCTGGACGGCTCAGCAGAGCAACAGCACGTTACAGCCTTTCTCAGTTTGATGGGCTCTGAATTCAAAGGGCCACAGACCTCAAATGGCTGTTGGTTTCATATTAAAAAGAAAAAGGCACCTTCAGAAAATGAGAAAAAAGTACATAGGTGCCCATAGAAGTTGATGTTCTACTCCGTCAATCAAAACAAAAAGGTTGCCATGCAAAACTTTGACTTTGGGGATAATATACTGGAGTATGTACACCCCCCACTCACTCCAACCAACCCTATTAGCAGCTCTAGTCTGCAAAGATCACCATGCTGGATCTCCATTTCACTAGCCAGCCACAACAGGAACTCTGG